GGAGCTGGAGTGTACCAGTGCGTTACTAAATGTTTCACAGAGCTTTGGGTTAGCGGTGGCTCATGAACCTTTGGAGTGTGAAAAGGGCGTGCTGAGAGACTATCGGCTTCTCTAGCAAGACTTAGACAGCTCAGTTTAACTGCAGAACTAGGCGTAGTTTCGAACTCAGAGCTCCAGACATCTGCACATGCGCTATTCAGGATGTAAGGAAAGTTCCAGAAGTTACTGTTGAGGAACGCCCTTTTGCGCTGCCCTCAGGAATTGCTTCGCTTCTTGCGTAGCACGACCGACTATTTCATAATTGAATACTTCGAATCCGCGAGCAGTGACATCTCGTGGGGGCCGGAAGAGTGGCTGGCACTCGTAGCTTGGCAACCGCTCAGCAGCAGTGACATCTCGTGGGGGCCGGAAGAGTGGCTGGCACTCGTAGCTTGGCAACCGCTCAGCAGCAGTGAACGCCAATGCTCTTGGGCATTGTCAGGGGAAACAAGAGATGCTGGAGAAGTTCGGATGAGCAAAGTGCATGGGAGGCACAAGAGTAGATGGAAGGCATTTGTGATCGCCATATAGTTTACACTCATCTTTCAGAAGGCATTTCGTTACAGTCTTCCTTAAAATAGGCCACGGCCTCCGTTTTCCATGTCCACTCCTACTGTTCATATAATGTATACTCTGGCTCTGAACCTGTGGGTATTAAACAGCGTCGTTAAATAAGCTGATACTCAATGGATAAGAAAAGTGGTGCTTTTCAGTCTTGTAGGTCTTGCTCCTTAGGCTTCTACCCTGACGAGGGAGGCAACATTTTCTTCCGAAGCATTCGTAACAACATCCCAGACTACACAGCATCGCGTCGCATTCACTGCCTTAACAACCTCGAACCTCAGATAACCTGCGCTGGATTTGAGGTTTTTACGGTGATTGTTCTGAAGGATCTTCTCTTCTGAGCTGAGTGACGCCACGTAGTCTGGTATCTTTACCAACGTTTCGAAGGAACATTTTGCCTCCCTCTTCAGAGTCGAAGGGTAAGTCAGGTAAGCGACCGACAAGGAGGAAGCAGAAAGCTCGAAGGGCACTAACTCTGCGATATAACTCCGTGTAGTTCGTTGAAAGTCAACCGACGTTTCGGAGGAACATATCACATCCATCCTCATCTTCATTCCCTCGGCTTGCCATCTGCTTTCACACTGATCAGTTACTCGGAGGCGATCTCCATGAAGAGAGAACTCTTCATAACCACCGGTGTGAGGACCTCAAGTCCCACATGCTCCGAGCTTGTACTGAAAACACAGACTTAGTTGGCAGCTCCCTGGATTTACCCCCATCATGTTATGCACGGCGCGAAAGTGAAGTCCCCTACTTCTATTTCACGCGTTTCTCTTTGTGTCCCGCAGGTGGCTTGTCAAGCCAGGCGAGACCAGAATCATTTCAGTTCAGTATACACAGCACCATCTATGGGCAGCAGAATGAAACTCTTGTAACTGGCAGATACAAATCACTGTAATTCCGTTGCTAAGCAACACGAAATTGTTCCGTTTATGGATCGCTGGGCGTGACCCAGTTCTGTGAACTGGTATAACAAGCGGAAACCCCTAAACTTGAATGAATATGGACAAGTTTCAAATTTGTCATGGAGCCCCGAAGATCGTCAGAAGTTGTATTCTCCGTTCGCTTACTTCTATATAACGAACTGCAAATGGTTTTAAGAGCTTTGCTTGTCAGGGAACTTTTCGAAGTAGGACCCTGTATATTATCCTTAGCGTTTGTAGTGAATGTGAGTTTGACGTCTTTCACTTAGGAATTTACCTGGAACAGATTATCGTGCTTTTCGCAAAACTGGTGAAATTTGACGATTGCCTATTTTATTCAAAGGGCCCTGCCCGCCTCCCTCCGCCAATAAGAGCAAGAGCGCAAGCGCAGATTGAAGTCGGGTGTTGTGCTGCAGTGCTCGAAGCCCCTACAGTAGCGTCTGCCGCATCTCCATCGCGTTGCAGGGTGTCCCAGCAGGAAAGGTCAAAGTATTGGTGATTCTCAGCAAAAAGGTGTATATATACATGTGTTCTATTCCGAAAGGTTTCACTGTACAGTTCCAAAATTGTTGATATTGTCTCGTGTCACGGTGACTAAAACCAGGGTTTGGATTGGTAACTGGATTTATTAACCACCTCCGGTTTGTAACTACAATTAATTATTTCACTATTGCTGCTTCACACAATTTGCAATCACTCCAATCACTCCACACTTAACTCTTCTAGTTGCACTTGTCTTCACGGATTTATATCACAGGAACTATCTCACCGAATTACACACTCCACATATTACATATAAATAAAGTCTTCAATTACACGTTAAGTTTTAATTCTTCTTCAACTACAAACTTCCCGTGGCTGTCTCCTACCGAGAGCTGACTTGCTTGCTTGTTCGCGTGCTTCTGCCGCTACTGCTACTCGTAAATGCTCTGAACGAATTCTGTCACTTACTTATATAGCCGCGGAACGGACATGAATCTACAGTGAACACATCGTGATTGCTCTCCAGCCAGTCTATTGGCGCGTCGGTCGGATCTACAGAAAACACAGCTTCCTCTATTGTTGGGTGTTGGACCGTGTTTACAGAGCTGTTGCCTGGCAATGCGTTGACCAAATCCGTTACAGTAAGAAGGAGATATTAAGTACTGTTTCTAATACCTGCATTTTTTGTTCAAGTGACAAAGTTGGTTCAGTTTACCTAGTACAATACACTTTCGAGAATTTCACCGGCATGTACTTCGCAACTCGTGTGAGGACGTGGCGTGTTGCTTGTCTGTACAGTGTACAGTACACTATACAGTGAAACAGCCATATCTCGGAAACCGTTCGGAACAGGACACATGTACATATGCACTTCTTGCTTAGAATGACCGACTCTACATATGACTTCCCAGAATATTGACCTTTCCTCCTGGGACATTCTCTATAAACCAATTGCAATAGTGGAGATTCTGTCCGTCCATAAATTTTAACACCCAAGCTGCTAGACTGATTTTGATAATTTCTGTTCTAGAGGCAGAATCGTTTCAGTTTCCATGTAGATATGTAGATTGATATCAGAGATTTAAAAAAAATAAAGCTATGCCTGTAACAGGCCGTGGAGGCCCATAGGGTTGTGAGACGTCGAGGGTCCCACATTTTCTAGACAATCGGCTAGCAGATGGCGGTAAGGTTTTCAGCCTTACGCTCCGGCCGCCCTTTAATCCCCAGGAAGATTCCTGGTACCCATTTCTGTTAGAGGTTGAGTCGACCGCAGGGCCATAATGTGGCTGAAAGGATTAGGTTAATTGAAAAAATCCACCTCATCGGTACTCGAATCCGCGACCTTCTGGCTTTTAGCATAGTGCCTCCACCAAGTATTTTTTTTACCTTTTTGAATATATGCAGATTGGTATGAGAGAAGTATACGCCCTAATTTCATACGTAAATAACATGACCGCTGTGTGTACTGCCCTGGGGTCTGCATTGCGCCTCTCCGATCTCTGCAAATTCAATACAAGGATCACGACATGAAGGCAGGCTTATAGTGGCGTGGCCTTCCGAGGCTCTGTTCGGGAGCCCTTGCCTGCCGACAGCAGGAAGCCAGACGTTCAAGAGGTTCCTGGACGCACGCACCGGAACCCGGTGTTTCCGTGAGGTTCAGCAATGCTGCTGTCATTGTGACGCGCATGCGCGACACGCAGACTGCAGGGATGCAAGGTTACAATGCAGTAAGCAGCAAGTTTCTTGTTTGTTTCAGTTTATTTCCATCTATATATTATAATATAGCATTCCATGTTTCGACTTAAACTGACTTGATTATAAATGAGAAATCATCATCATGCAACAATAAAAACTCAACAATATATTTTTCTCATTTTTTTGTAACTTTGGTTTTTAACGTTTCGAGAGAGAAGAACAAACATTTTCCATTATGTTAAAGCATTCAACAATATATTCGAGTCTTCAACTGTTCAACATGTACAGACACGTCAGCTAGTTTCTATTACGTCACAGTCTACACAGAAAGAACTTCTTCGTTTTAAAAATGAACACATAACAATTGAAGGATATGAGAATTATAAAGGCCAGTTGTCTGACCTCTGAATGATGTGAATACTAAACACACACAAGGACATAGAGATTGACCAGCAGCTGTTGGCTCCGCTAGAGACAGCAAGGTTCCAACAGTGGCAGCTGAGTAACCGTTGCGTTCCCTTCTGAAACCGGCGGTTCTCAAGCGAGGCCATTGTTGCTGTGCTTATTGTTGAAAATGTTTTCCCTCTCTCCTGTGAGTTCATTGGCATGTCTGTCAGTGCTACCGAACTGCACCCCTTTGTTGTTTATTTCCCGACAAACAAATTGACAGACGAAACTTTTTTCTTTCTGTTCACTGTGGAGGGGAACGTTCAGTAAGCGTTTTTCCGTTTAGTGAGCTGCTGTAAAATTAAGGTTATCACATTTTCCTTGCAGCATGCTTTAAATTTTAACATAATGAGAATCGCTTTACAGGACTTACGTGGCTTCATGCTTTAAGCGGTGTGGTCACAGACATTTGCTTGAGAACCGCTGGTTTCGATATCAGATGCATCAGGATACTGTTCGTTCTGGACTCGTGTGTTTCTTGCTAGTGATATGACTTCTATATTATCGACATCTATCCCGTTACTGTGGGATCTCTCTACGGCATATCAGTCTTGCAGCAGCCGATGTGCCCCTGTTCTCCACTTGCGCCGCCTTCCAGCGCCATTTTCTGGCTAATCAATACAAAGACAAAGTAACTGATTGTGATCCGTTGTCAGGCGTTCTGATGACTGCCTACTGCGACTGGTTTTCCGTGTTTCTCATGTCGTTTAGTGTTCTGAACAGAACACAAAAACTGGGTCTCACTGGTTCAGCGGACCCACCCAGAGTCAACACCTGGGAACGGGAAGAATCCAGATGTTCAGTAATTGGGGTTCATCTTGCCCTGCTTCGCAGTTTGGAGCATTTTCCTTGTAATCAATGTCACTTTGACACTCAAGCGAAAATATTTCGCAACTGCGCCTCATGAGTTAATGTAAAATGGCGAGTTATTCGTTTTGAAAGTGTACAAGCGCCTGAAGACACCACGAGCCCAAAAGGGCCAGTTAGACTCACGAGGCATTTCTTTCATTTTTAACTCCACAGTGCAGCGGCGATTTAAAAATCCCTGTTACAAGTTGTTAGGTCTGTGTGTCAGCCTCGAAGTGGCATTCAGCGACACTGACGTGTTGGCCAGACACTTGCTCGCTACCACAGCGCAAACTTCTGCGTGTGCAGTGGGAAGGAGGCTGTGACAACAGTGCTACATTCTTCCGCCTGAGTTGGTGACCCGCAGGCGCGCGATGCCCGCTCCACTGTAGGCCTGAAGGCAGCCGCAAGCCAGGGACACAAGGGCACATCACCTCTCCTCGTTTTGAAACAACAAACAGGAAATGAAAAGAAAAAGATATGCAAGATTTCCATACAAACTCCCATTCAATTCAGATGCACGGTGATACATTGTAATAGGCCTTTTGCTCTCTGTCCCGTACATTGTACTGTACACATATATTTGAAATTATTCTCCTTGCTGGAGGGGTTTGGGGCTAAGTTATTTTTTTACATATTAATTGTAGATTTCTGTGGTCTCTTGTAATCTCGTACTTACAGGCACTGACGTAGAGAGGGCATGAAGCGCGGCCCCTGTACGGCTCGCGACCGGTTGCCTCTGAACATTAGAATTGTTGAGTGACGGCTGCTGTTAACGTTAACTTTAAAATTCGTCTTTTAGTATCTTCTGAAATTGTATTGACAGCAGTCTGTGTATCTGTTTCGAGTTCAAAAGAAAACTGTTGCTTCACGAAATTTTTGGGCGTGTTGAAAGCAAGTGTCCAGTGGGCGGGCGGTCAGTTTCAGCGAGCCGCCCAGGAGGCCAGACGCGACAGTAATGCGTGTACAGTCTGTGTCATCACATGCGCATACACGGTGCAGATATCTTAAAGTGCAGTCAACATAGGAATACATACGAAGGGACTTCATGTTTCTCTTATTGCATTATGATTATTGATAACAACATTATATGGTACACGAACACAGATGATAAGAACTTTCTGGAACACATTTTAAGAATATTTTCGGTATAGTACATTCAGCACGCAACAGAGCATCATTACATGGGTCACGTGTACAGCTGGTGTCCCTGTGAATGCCGACAATACGAAGGTCGTTTCGTTTGCCGCACAAATTAATTTGATTTGGGGGGGGGGAAAGCGCTGTTCGTTTATTTTCAGCAGTGCGGTACACTCTGTCTCGTAACATTTGCTCTGTTGTGATAGGAATTAGTTGTTATAAAAAGATCCTTCGTTTCTGCTTAGATTTGTAGTGATTCATTTGACTGTCTTTGTTAATAATGTTTTGCAATGGATACAAAATTGCATAGCGCCCCGGGCTGACGTCTGAACCAAACTGGCGGATGATTTGTCAAACCCGGAGTGCAGTTCGGTGCTGAATTTTAATTTTATCTTTATTCTTAACAAATTCATGCACGAATTTTTACTTTGAGGAGGTTCAACAGTGCTTATTCTTGTTAGTGTGCAGAATTCTAAATATTGGGATTTCTTGAGAAGTTCAATGACTGCTGGATATTCAAGGGTGGCTCTCGCGCATTGAGTCTGCAGTTCGTTAATATTACTGTCACCCAGTAATCTGCAATATTTGCTTAATCCCAGGCTTGAGATGTGAACCCAGCCTCGCGATTGGCTGAGAAGTGCTTACTGCTTTGCTCAGTGCTCGTATATTCAGATTTATTATTATTTACTATTGATAATACTAAGAAGAAGAAGAACAGTATTATTATTATTATTTTGTAAACGGTTGCATTTGAATGGTGGGGAGACCGTGACGGTGCCCCAGACTGATGGAGTTTGCTACCGCCGAGGGCCTTCCCCGTTTTGTATCGCGTTGAACATTTTAGAGTCAGATGAATCACCAACGTTCCTTTGGGCCCGACATGGTGAAGCTAAAAAGGGGGGGGGGAGTGGGGTCCATCCACGGCCCCGTCGATACAGCGACTCTTTTGTTTTCTGAACCTGACATTTTTTTTTCGCTTTGCCTCTCAAAATGTAGTATTTGCTGTGGTGTATATTGATATTTATTAAGAGAAATCATTGTTGTATTGTAAAGTAGCGAGACAGCGCTCTGCTGACTTATGCAGCCGACCGACACAGCTAGAACCCCAGCCTCTACGAGCTCTGAGCAACTGACGATGAAGAGCGAACATGCTTTTGCTTGACACAGAATGTGCAGCACTTACGCTTCTGAGGCCTGAAGGCGATACTCAGAAACTCAGTTCATAGCACACAGAAAGGGCGCCGAATCTGCATAACAAAGAACGACCCGTTAGCAACGTTTGCTATACAGTAGCCATGCAAGAAGACATAAAACACTCTGTGAACAAAACGTTCATTTCTATGGTGTTAGATTCACTGGTACATATAGTTACCACTTTGCTTTAAAGGTTTGTGTGTGCTACACATTCTGATGAAAACAGTGGTTTCGTCTCTGCGGTCGTAATGCAGTAGAACCGAACAGAGAAAATTACACGATGTCCCTGATGTGGTAGCTGCTATGGAGTGGCTGGGGCTTGTGATTACCCTGGACCAAACAGGGGTGACCAGACAATGTTTGACGGTTGGAAGATGTTAATGATTTGTGAGAGCTGCAAGCGAAAAGAGGCTCAGTGAGAAGACAAATCACAGAGAAGAAACGAGGCCAAGGTCCTTACAGGTTCGTACGGAGACAAGCCACGCTGGCACGAGTGCCGTCAGCTCATGAACATGATGAAGACCTGTGCTCAGGGAGAATCGCCCTTTTCGAATTTCCGATTTTAGCTCCATGTTCTCGCCCCAAGGAGTCGCAGGATCTCTGTAGCTGCTTCAGTCGTCCCACGTGGGGAAACTCTGGGCGGGAATGAACAGATCACTTCTGGGTTCTGGTGATGACGTCACGACGGGGACCGGCGCTGCTTCAGTGGGCTGTTCTGTCGACACGGTCAGCTCGATGTTCTCCTCCTCCAGGGTGCTGTGCTTGATGCCGTAGTAGAAGTACACGCCGAGGCCTGTAGACACGAGACTGGATATGAAGATCAGAATGTCACTAGAGCCAGTGAAGAGAGCTGCGCATGCGCGTGTCCGAAACGTACCTATAGCCATCCAGACGGTGAAGCGGACGAGAGTGAGGATGGACAGTTTGAAGATGAGGTAGATGTTGACCATGACAGCGATGGCCGGCACGAAGGGCAGTCCCGGAGTCATGAACAGCAAAGTCTTCCTGAAACAGATGAGGACACGGCGTGACGAAGCGTCATGAGTGTGGAGAGGGAGGCATCGCGACGCCCCACCCACCTGTTCTGCGGTTTCCTGGAGATGACAAGCAGCACGGCGATGATGGCCAGCAGGAAGAGCACGAGGAAGAAGGTGGTGGCTCCCGACATGGAGCCCATGCTGCACACCACGATCAGGTCGAATATGAGGATCAGGAGGTAGAGGAGTCCCACCATCTTCATGACGAACATGCCGGACTCCTCGGTCGCTGGGCCTGTGTCCACCCACGGGAAGATGGCCGGACAGAGGTACGTGGCGGCCTGGCACGGTATATACAGTAGCATTATGCAAGGGGCTCACTCCGCTGGCTGGCATTGTTCGTGCTCTGCTTACACCACTCACCTGTAGTCTTCTGCCGATGTACCCCAGGCTGGGCCCCACTGCCGCCGCCACGCCGCTGCCTCCTGTGCTGCCCCCGTGTAGTGTGCCATAGAACTTGTTTTCGCTGCGATCCGACACCAGGAACTGGTCATCCCGCAGGAAGAAGTCCTCTTCCGGCTCCTCTCCTGGGAATGTGTCGTCACTGTCCGGTGAGCTGTGGGCGCGACAGGCATTGTTACAGTAGGCCACGACCACTTCTTCAACGTCTTTACGCCAAGCGTCAACTTGTTTCCGTCCATTTGCTCTACTGAATCTGCATGCGTCGCGTTTAAATGGCAGAACGTTCTGACAGGTACCGACATCTGTCGCGCGTTAGATGCACTATATCGACTTCCATTTGGTGACGTTTCGCGCCCGTTGAAGCATGTAATGTCTCTGAACACGCAAGGGATATAGATGCAGGCTACATGTACGGTAGAGGCACACAAGGTGTGGTGGGGGCAAGACCGATGCTAGCATGCTCATTTGACATGTACAGAATTCGACAAAACATTGGCAGGGTGAGGTTCACGCGCTGTGGTGATTGGTAGTTAATTTTCTCACTTCCGTCCTCTGCAACATCAGAATCAACAGTAGCCTTTGTTGCTTAGTTTTGGAGGCTTCGCGGCGGAAAGTTGCAGAGCTTCTGCATGCCTGTCCGTCCGTAAGAACCCTCAAGAACAGCTGAACGGATTTTTATATTTTGGATGGGCGGAAATTTCGCCGAAATTTCTCGTCACGTTCTAATGTTGCGTGTCCGCTCGCGCCTGGAATGTATGCAACTCTCTGAATATTTCTCGCGAAAGGAGTCAAGCCCTGCAACTCTCCTCGATATAATTATGTTGGGCGTCTGATGACATATTCCTGTTAGTTGCCGTTGCCTGGGCGTGTCCATGTTACAGGGTTCAGTGGACCCGTCATGCTCATGAAAACAGCCGAGATTCGACCCGCTGTCAGTGGTGGGGACATGCATACATTTGTACCGCAAACATAGTCACATTGAGGGGGGGACTGTGACGTCACATACATTGCATGGGGGACACAACTGCTGAGTTTAGGGGCACACAGAATGGTGGCTTACTCTTCGAATCCCCGCAAGTTCCCCGCACCGTCCGTCCTGCGTGAAAGAAATCGAGACAACCGTTTGGTGCATGGAACCTAGAGAACTGGATTCAACTGGCTCATGACAGCCATGTTCACTAATCAAGAAGCTGTGCAGTTACAGCAGTAATGAGAAGGCGTGACATCCCACAACTCACCTGCGTGTCACACGCCGCACCATAACCCTCTGTTGGTTGGGGCCCATAGCGACCCCGGCTGGTGCCGACGGCTGGTGCGCAGGAACTGTGGGTGCGGGCGCCGTGTTGCCCAGGGCTGCCCTCAGTTGGTCGGGGTGCAGTTGCTTTCCGTAAAGTACCTGCACAGCAGAGCCCTAATTTGGCATCGAATGGAAGAATGATTATGAATACCACAACTGGAAGCTGCGTCAGCATTTGCCTTGTCTTGACTCCTTCCTGCAGAACTATTTCGGCCGTCTCAACGGTACCATCGACCTCGTAGCTCAGCAAGACTGCACGGTGTCACACGGCTTCGGCTTCACAACCTCCGATCTCAACGAACGTGTTGCCCGCTCCACATGGCCTCTGAAGTACTGCCCTGTGAGCAAGCGGTTCTCAACCAGCGTGCCGCGACGTTTTCAACAAAGGGTTCATTATATAAAATAAAATATGAATTTGCATAAACTTTTTTAATTGATAGGCCTGTTCATAAGAAAACGCAAAATGTATGCATCTTTATGCAGCTGCTGAGACTATTTAAGAGGCTTGTGCTTTCATGAATGTCAGCTCTCAGCTCTGGTCGCGTGGAGACGCAAGTGGATGAACAACCTGAGCGTCGCCACGCAAGGGCAGTGTTCCAACATGGCGGCCTCGTACTGTAGAGCGGTCTGTTCTGAGCAGCACCCGCCCGGATATCTGCAGATGGGACAGAGCACGGAACCTGTCGCTCAGCTGTTATCCACGCAGACACCGCCGTGCCGAAGGAAAGCTTGCGTGCAACTTGTGCTTCTAATTTGTGGAGAGGACTGTACCTCAGACAGAGACATGTGGCTGGGGGACTACTTGCCTGTCCATTGCTGAGGTTCTCTTTGGTGGGGGAGCCTCGTATCGGGGTTCTGAGGCTCTGAGGCAGCAGCTCGATGAGATTGGTAGAGTGAGGCTGGTACCTCAGGATTAGCACGCAGGTCGAGACCAGAGTGTAGGCGAGCAGCGTGCCTGTAGGACAGTGTCAGGCGCACATAAATACAGACACATAGCAGTGAGGGCACAAACACGAGACTGCGGGCCCAACTTACCGATGGACATCATCTCGACCAGCACTTCCAGCCGAATAAGTAGGGCTGCTAGCGCCGCGGCCAGGCCGGATATGAAGGTAGCGAGCACTGGAGTTCCAGTAGCTGGCCACACCTGCGACAGGGTCCTGAAACACGCAGTTACTAAGCTCAGAACCTCTCCGTAGTCTACGCACTCTACCCTACAGGACAAGTCTCCACACTGTACCTGAAGATGAGCCCGTCCTGCGCCATGGCATACACGATGCGCGGCATGGGGAACATGGAGCCGAACATGGAGACGGTGAGGCCGGCCAGGGCGCCCACCGCCACGATGTACTTGCACTTCATGGCCCCCACTTGCCCGAACATCTCCACCAGCGCCGAGTTGGCGTCCACCTCATCATATGGCACTGCAACAGCATGGAATTTGTAGCACTGGGGTTACTCAACCCATCCACGAATGCACCGTGAGCAGAGAAACGCGTTAAAACTCACCGATGAGAGTGAGCATCATGGAGGAAGTGACATAGGCGATAAGTATGATGACCAGGCTGGTCACTATCGCCAGGGGAATGGATCGCTTAGGGTTGTTTGCCTCCTCCCCCGTCGTGGCGATAATGTCGAATCCAATGAAGGCATAGAAGCAGGTCGCGGCCCCAGTCAGTACCTGCGCATAATATGGCCCCTGTCAAGTAAGAGTCGCCATGGCAGCCAGAAGACTCCCCCATAACAGCAGCCAGAAGACCCCCCATAAGGGTAGCCATGGCAGCCAGAATAATCCCCCATAAGAGTAGCCATGACAGCCAGAAGAATCCCCCATAAGAGTAGCCACGGCAGCCAGAGGACTCCCCCATAAGAGTAGCCATGGCAGTCAGACGACTCTCCCATAAAAGTAGCTATGGCAGCCAGAAGACTCCCCCATAAGAGCATCCATGGCAGCCAGAAGACTCTCCCATAACAGTAGCCATGGCAGCCAGAATACCCCCTTAACAGTAGCCATGACAGCCAGAAGAATCCCCCATAACAGTAGCCATGGCAGCCAGAAGATTCCCCCATAACAGTCGCAATGACAGCCAGAAGACACCCCATAACAGTAGCCATGGCAGCCAGAAGAATCCGCCATAAGAGTAGCCACGACAGCTAGAAAACTCCCCCATAAGAGTAGCCATGGCAGCCAGAATATTCCCCCATAAGAATAGTCATGGCAGCCAGAAGATTCCCCCCTTAAGAGTAGTCATGGCAGCCAGAAGCCTCCCCCATAAGAGTAGCCACGGCAACCAGAAGACTCCCCCTTAACAGTAGCCATGGCAACCAGAAGACTCCCCCTTAACAGTAGCCATGGCAGCCAGAAGCCTCCCCATAAGAGTAGTCATGGTAAGCAGCCCCTGCTGTTGCAGTGTCGGCCACTCACCCCGGGCCAGCCGTACGGCAGGAAACCCTTGTGGTCGCTCCAGTTGCCCGTGTCCACGTAGAAGAGGCCGGCGGTCATTACAAACACCCAGACGGACAGGTTGAGTGCGTTGAGCACGTTGTTAAACACTAGGGACTTCTTGACGCCCGCTGCCATGAGCAGCATCATCAGGATGGTGATGATGAAGGCCAGGAAGTCAGGTGATCTGCCTGTCAACAGATGAAGCAAAGCGCGCCATGTCGATGTGTGAGGGCTGTTTCGGCAACAGCGAAATGTACTGTACACGCAGGTGGAATTGGCGAAACTAATTTCAGAATAATTAATTAACCCTTTCAAGCCCATTGGTTACTATATGTACCACCTGCTTTATTTGACACGCAGAACTCCTAGAACTCTGCAGTCTGTGTTCACTGTGGTTCTCACAGGAAACAGCGACTGTTCCCTTGAACAGCCTTAACCGATTCGGCTTTTTAGCAGAGACATTGGACGGGCAGGGCATGCAGACTTCATGGGTCAGACGTTAATGCATAAGTAAGTTGTGAAATCTGAAAACAAAGAGACTAGTTGGTAGACCTAGGTATAGATGTGAGGATAATATAGAGAATTGTAATAAAATTTGCGAGCTTATACAAGGCCTCAGATACACTGAATGACTGAGCATCCGTTGCATGCATTTGTTAGGCCTAGTTAGCTAGTTCCTTGGCAGTGGCAGCACTATCGCGGTCGTTATGCTTACGAACGTTTCTATCTTCTTAGGCTTCTAATTTCAATAGTACCTCATGTAGACTGGAGCACGAGGCCATGTGCTGTAGTAGGATTTCACACAGGCCGCGCCATAGCTCAAGCGGTTAGTCGCTGGCTTCCCACCGCGGCGGCACGGGTTAGATCCCGGGTCTGGTCAAGTGGGATTTGTGGTGGACAAAATGGCGCTGGGGCAGGTTTTCTCCGAGTACTTCGGTTTCCCCTGCCAATCTTCATTCCACAAATTGCTCCACAATCACCCTCACCTATCATCTGGGGCTGGTACAATAGGCCAGAAGTGGCCGCAGTGCAAGGGACTCAGTCCCGCCCTCTAGCAATTAAAAAAAGATTTCACAGACGTTTGGAAGGAACGTACTGCCTCCACCTTCAGGGTAAGCGCACTTGCAAACAGCAAGCATCAATTTTAATTGCTTCTTGTTGGTTTCTTGGTTGGCTTACTCTTCCAACCTGAAGATTGAAGCAGTACTTTCCTGCGAAAGGTCGGTAAACTTCTCTGAGACCGCACGACGTCACAGCAAAGCACTTCTCATAATCTCCACTGTGACATCCTCAACTGCAAGGAGCGTGTAGTCCCGGTTTACGAACCCAGGACCATCCTGCGCAGACCCAGTTGGTTCCTCACTCACCGAAGAACGCTTTCATGGCTCCGCTGATTGCACCGTTGGCCAAGGCATCGAAGCAGGCGCTGAGGGCGCAGGCGCAGGCCGACGTGCCAATAAGGTATTCCAGCACCATGTTCCAGCCAATCACAAAGGCGATAAACTCCCCCACAGTGACGTAGCTGTACATGTACGCGGAGCCCGTCGTGTGCGGGACTCGAACTCCGAACTCTGCGTAGCAAGCCCCTGGAAACAGGTCCAATATCTTAGCTCTCATGGCCATGTATTTGCCACTGGAATGTTTAATGAAACAAGTCAAATGATTCTATTGCAGAGGCGACCAGTTTCTGTTCAGGGCAGCTGCGGCCCTTGCTGCTGGGCTTACGTTTAAGAAAACACGCGCTATTCAGAGCAGTTAGTAGGATTTAACAGGCTTATGTTAAAAAGTTTCAGATAAAAAGAGGTAAATATATTCCTGTAATAGTCTGTGGAGGCCCATAGGGTTGTGAGACGCCGAGGCTCTCACATTTTCTAGACAGTCGATTCACAGATGGCTGTGAGATTGTCAGCCTTCACCCGCAGGAAAATTCCGGGTACTCATTTCTGTTACTTTTCCCATTCTCGCAAGGAAGCGCAAGTCCTGCAGTCGTGTAATTCGGGAGACACGCAGCTGAGGGTCTGTGCTTCAGTGCTAATCAGCAGCTACAGGTAGCCCTCTTCTGTAACTGCAGAACTTGTAGTTGCTTAGAAAAATGTATCTAAATACCAGACGATAATCTAGGGCCCAGTTATGTTCAAATGTTGGCACCATCATTTTGAGGAAACTATGACCTCAATACTAAATCCAGAGGCAGACCTGACAGGTTATGTGAGGCTCCCCGCACGGAACATTGGGCCACAGTGTGCAGTACATAAGCCGAGAAATGAGTCTACTGATCGTGTTCTGGCAACGGAAAGCAAAAGAAATGAATGGCGCTGTGACGTAAGGAGAGGCAGGTCGTACAGCTGTAGCATCAGAGCCTTCAAAGCACAGTATCACAACTGCTGTCCTGAAGATGGAAGCAGCAGATGTCTCCGAAATGTTGGAAACGTATATCAAGACCACACAATCTATGTCAGGTTTGAAGTTCTGAACTGTTTGACTATGAACACGGCGGTGTTTAGGGTTTTAGCGCCGTGTAATTCGGAGAGAGTCCGACGTTTCGGAGGAATATGTGGGAAAGAGGAAAGCGTATATGGAGTTTGTCGCCTGTTTTTGTTGGTTTCTTGCTTGGATTATTTTTGAACCCTGAAGATGGAAGCGATATGTTGTGCTGCCTGAGAACTAGACGGCGTTACAACTCCTCAGCTGCAATTCATGTTATTCCCTCAGAGTAAGATACGACATTCTACTCCAATACAAAACAGTGAATATTGTCTCCAGCCTTCAGTTCGCCGTGCTGCGCGGCAACTTCTCTGACACATGTGTGAGGCGGGTTATCCGTATTTTTGCAGGGGCTCCTAACAGGAGTCTTCCAATAAGCACAGCACCCACAGCAGCCACTGCTGGGTGAATGAACTATTGATTTGCTTCGCACGCAGTGGGTGTTATCGTCCGCTCCAGGAATCGAACACGGCCCGCCGCACACTGACATTAGGCTTGGCTGCTGACATCGGCCTTTTGTGACAGTAACGGAAGAAGACGGGAAGAAACAGTGGCAGTAAGGGTGTTTGTCCTCGAGATGTGCTCGAACGGTCATCCTTCTTTTTAATTAACTGGGTGACGTGTACGAGGATTGCAGCTAGATGTTGATTGAAAATCGATAGCCTAATTAGGTGTGTGCGAGTGTGTGTGCTTAGACCGTGAGACTGGTCACAGCAGCGAAGTACACTACAGTGAGCATTCTCTGTTTGTTTGGCGTCTATGTCCGGGTGTGCCAAACAACACATTCACAGTAGCGTCTGGGGCAGACTTGGGCGACCTAAATGCACGGGAAGTTCTTATTTCAGGTTTGAGGTTCTCACAGCGGTAAATATTGAGATTACTGCCTTGTGGTATCTGATGTCGTATAGTCTGGTAGAACTAATCGTGTGACAACAGTTTAGATGAACATATACTGCTTCCGTCTTCAGGGTAGAAAATGGGAATAGCTTGGGTACCCAAACCACACTATACGGCGTCACGACCTAGAGAAGCAAGATGGCCTGTGCATATGAGACACGCGAATGCGGAGGAACTTTGGCATTTGTCACAATTTGTGCTCAGTTTAGTGCACTGACATCTGACGGCTGCCGGTACCGAACCCGGCACGTTCCGGTTCTGTGAGGACGATTTGAAGAAGATGGGTCCGTTCTCAGCAAGTGGCATCAGCGAACGCGTTTGCAAACAGTTCTACACGGCGATAACTACATGTGACGCCGTCTAGTCTAGTAGATTGCGCAGGAGCCCGCTGGCAATAGTTATGTATGCACATTTGCTATCTCTTTTGGGCCCTCCTGCTCCGTCACACTAGCAGCACTACAGAAGGTTATCAACTCCGTCCAGCGTGACTGACAAAACGTGTTTCGTCCTTTCCTTTTTAATCTTTCATCCTTGACATGTTTCGGTCTGAGAGACCATCTTCAGAAGGATATATCAATAGAGGCGGAAACTACTGTTACAGGGTGATTGGTCAATATCAGTACATACATACAATATCATCACAATGCCATAAATATAAGCTATTACCCTTTGACAACTACAGCAACTTGCATGAATACATTAAAATATTTATAAATTATTACAATTTACAAGTGTGGTTTAAAAAGATTTTGTTAAAATTTTTAGAACGAATTTGGTTCGTGCCCTTTATACCGTCTCCCTTGAAAGGAAGTTGAGTGTCAGCCACCTCGTGGTTCCGTCGCTTGACGAATGGGACTCTTTGGTGCCGTCCTCTTGTTCCGGTCGTTCGGATCCTCGAGGTGGTAGACATTTCGATGATACGGTATGTATGTATTGATACAGTCCACTCACCCTGTAACAGTAATTCCCCCCTGTATTGATATGTCCTTCTGAAAAAGGTCTCCAAGACCGAAACATGTCAAGGATGAAAGATTAAAAAGGAAACAACGAAACGCGTTTTGTCAGTCACGCTGGACGGAGTTGATAACCTGTTATAAAAATTGTTATCTCGTGTTGGTCAGGGCCGGATCGTGAAGGTGTGTGCGCCATACTTACCGGAGAATATGGAAGCTACAGCGGCAATGATGAAGGAGAAGACAACTCCAGGGCCGGCATAGTTGCGCGCCACCATGCCGGCCACAAGGTACATGCCCGTGCCAACACAGGAGCCCACCCCCAGGGACGTCAGGTCCAGGGTCGTCAGGCATTTCTGAAACAGATCACGAGGCGCACAGGTTCCCTTTTCGAAATACAGGGGCGCTGTCGCCACAAGTGGCATGTGTTGCGGCGCCATGTAACAGGCTGGACGGCTGCTGTGAGGGTTAGGACAGTCTGAACGGTGTAACAGCCGTGGCGGCTCTTTCTTGGCCATTCTCAATCGCTTTGAGTAGTTATTACAAGCATTCCCATTGGACAAGTAGTCTAATGGTCGAGATTAGCTTCTCTGACGGACGCAGCTGAGTATGAAGTATACTCACATCTGACGATGGAAGCAGTCCGAGTTGCCGAAACATGATGTCTATAGAACTCAAGACGATGGACAATGCCCATGTTTATGAAATCCCATTGTCCCAGGCGAGGCCACAAGCCCCCTCCCCCCCAACAAAGCTAATGAAGTGCCAAGATACTGACCTTGAGTTTCATTTTCTTGGGGTCCTGGGACTCTGACGTTCCGTGGGGCACCTCCCCCTGCATGCTTTCCACATTCTTAGTACGGATCAGTTTACTGAACAGTGCGAGACCGTCCCGTTTCAGCTCAGCCCTGTTCAGCTGGTTCAGCTGCGGGAACACGCCTAGCTTCATACTGAAACAGCAGCACAATGGAAGTAAAGCTCCACGCATTCTGAGGTCTGGGCAGTGCCGAGAGACAGCACAAGTCTTGTATAGAGTGGAGAAGGGGAGTCTCGGGGTTCACGAACCGACACTTTCATGTCACACCCCGTCACTTCGTTGTCGCACCCACAACAGTTTTAGCATCGGAAATCCATAGCGGCCTGCCCGCTGTGGGTGTGAAGTCGATAAGTTAAGCCCGGTGTCTCGGCGGGAAGGTCATGTCACTGGAGGTCACTTAATTCTGACAGTCCACACGTTTAGTTTTGTTAATACAGGAGCACAGTCAATAGTGGGGCTAGAGACCCAGCTCATGCTGTTCAGAGCCCGTGGGACCCGCACGGCTACAGGATGCCTACGAACTCGTGAAAAATAGACTGTTACAGGCATGCAGTGACCAGAAGCATACAGCTGGCTGATTTCCCTGTCAGTGTCACACTGTGTATTATGGTTGAAACTGTAAATAAGGAACGACACGCAAACTAAGAAATTTAACCTCAGAACTGGCTCATCGCTTCAACCCTTGAAATACTGAATTTCTGCTAAAGATTCAGTCCGTACCTCACAGGAAACATTACGTCTCCGCTACAAAACCCAACCGGTTAATGCTGTGTAAGGAAACAGTCGCTGTTTATTTTGAGACTCGGTCGGAACATATAGATACACTGTGTGGGCAGAATGCAGAGTTTTGGTATGTTATAGCAAGTGGCACATATAGTAACCATTTAGCTTTAAGAGGTTAAAGTAATCATACGGAGTACATTTCACAACTTTTCGTGCTGTCGGGTCCCCCCGTTAGAAGCAACAGTTGCATTTATCACATGGCCAGTGGGGTTCATTACGTTAAATGATAGTAAGTTTATTGACCAGCTGAGTGACTATCAGCGTCTGGAGTGGGCGTCTAGTTTGCATGGAGTTCGTTACGATCCTGTGACCTAGGCTGTATTGTGGCATGCTCTGGCTTAGCCAGCAATTTCAGCAGTTCGTGGGAGTTGCATTGTTGTTCTGCGATCGGTCCGCTTGCCCCCCCTCTCTGTCGCTGTCGCCTGGCGACCATTCACATAAACCTTCGACGCGCGACCGAGTCTGCTTTCAGTCTATGATTGATCGCAGTTTCGTAAGCGAAAGTGAAATTATGTAAAGAGAACTGAGTTTGTTTTGTAGTTCTCGCTGATTGAGTTTCTGAACGCACCCCTGCTCCAAGAACTGACAGCGTTTCTCGACGTTTTGGACCCGATATCTAGGACTGTCCAAAGGGACTGCACTCAGCTCACGGCAGCCTTACAAGCGACACGCGCTGTGCCCATATCTCGCACTCCGTGTGCCAGGTTGTCGCAGTGATTGCTATGAAGACTGCTCATGTAGTTTGGTCTTGTTACTCTTCAGCTCTCAATATTGGGTCAGTAAGTTCATCCGAAACGTCGGTGACGTTGAGTCCGACTACACAGCGAAACGAAATAGCGACTGTCACATAAACTGCGTCGCTCCGTTGCCCAGTGAAATGGATCGTGTCTTGGCTTCCTCCCAACTGTCGTAACCCTCCGTATTCAGCGTTCCGTGTGTTATCCGGGCCGGGCCAGGCCGGTGCAACTGTGGGCATGTCCATCCTCAATAGCCGTGACGTCGCCACCTTGAGGCGGCCTCCACCTGACGACGGAAGCACATCTGACTTCCGACAAAGCCCCAGGTCTCCGAAGTAATGGTCATGTGGAAGGCAGCCGGAAAGGTCAGCAGATGTCGCCACAAGCGCGATGCAAATTTCTATCGATTTGGATCATGTGTCCTTAAAGGTCAACCCTGCGACCTCACGGCCCAGTGACGTCAGGGATTCCCGGGGTTGGAGTGTGGTTCACCCCACCGCCACAACTAGCTTGGTTCGTCTCGAATGGTGAGCCATATAAAAAAGAGCTCACTCTGCAGCTGGACGGTGCTGTGACGTCAGCCGCGGCGGCCACATTGCAGAGTCAGCCGCGCTCTGTACCGCTGAGCCACGTGGCCAGAAGTGGGAGGCAGACGGAAGAGAATGTGAAGGCAAAAGTTTGGAGGATCGAACCCTGATATCGCGGGCAATGACTGCAGTCATGGACGGACAGACAGCTGCGAGATCTGCCCCCCATTTTGATAGCATGACACGTCCTTCTCGGGGGGCAGACGTTGCTTCCCCCAAACTCATGCAAATCCCAAATCGTCAGAAAATCATAATTCCGCTGGGCCTTGGGTTGCGCGGTTTCACAAATGTTGCTGCTCAGCGTGAACTGACAAATTATTTGGACTAGCATCGAGGCTAGTGAGCGCTGCTCAGGCACTGGAAAACTGACATTCCGCGACGTCGGCTTGCTACGCTCCCCCCCACCCCCGCTCGCGGTTTTGTGTATTTCAGGCTTCAAATTGGTTGGGGAAATCTAACATTACGAAATTAGCAATGCCAGAACCAATCTATCAATGGGCCTGTGTGGCCTGGTTCAGGTGTGAGCTTCTCACGCCGTGTAGCCTAGTGCAAGTTTACAGATGTTTCGGATGAACGTGCTGCCTCCGTCCTCAGGGTCTAAGAGTAACCAGAGCAAATCAAGCGACACGTCTGTCGTGTCATGCAGGAGAATTGTCTGCCTTTCCCTTGTCCTCGTCCTCCCGTGCATATCGAGAAGTCATTTATACTTTGTCTTATTTAACGAAACTGTTTCAGCAGCATGGGTTATATATGCCAGCTGTAGCGAGGAATGAGAATTTCGTATGTGAAATGATGACGGCTGCGCTCCCACGCGACGCCATCTTGGCGCCTCCAGTAGCAGACGCCAACACGTAGGAATGTACAGAGTGTGGGAGCATCGTGCCGCGGAGAGAAACTAACTATACCAATATGGCGGCCGCGGGGTTACGCTGCGTTTCAAACGGTGCCTGTCCTTCACGAGAACCTCAAATTTTCTAGGCTCTTCGAGACATTCCTCGCTTTATATAGACCCCGACAGTTCATTACCGCGTTCACAAAAGCACGCCACTCATTGTATCCTGAGCCAGGTGGATCCAGCACAAGCTTGGCGCCCTGTGTAACTTTCATTGGCAAAACAACCCTTTTTGAGGCATGGCCTTCCTTAGAAGATTCTGCCAGATTGCATCGGGGTTCACTTCTCTAATATCCCGGGTGTATTTTTGCCGTCATGAGTGTATAGTTCCCCCACCAGCTCCCAAGATGAAGGATCACTCCTTGTCGGCTGTCCGCAGCTACCCTCCATATGCGGAGGCCGTCTCCTGAGCACGAGTCGCGTCGTGACAGGGGATCCACTTAACGTTTACAGAATAATTACTTAATTCTCCGAGGGGAGAAAGTGAAGATGGGGGTAGCGACATGCACTACATTTTGAATGGGAAGGCCATGATGTTTTCCGTGCAGCACCCGCTCAGTGTACGGGCGAGATAGGGTAAAGAGTTGTGAAGTGGAGAAATGGACTTTGTATGAGCAGAGGAAACAATTGGAACAAGGGTTTTGCTGCGTACGGTCGGAAATTTTATGTTAAATTTGGAAGGACTGAATCAGGGAAAAAGTTTAATACTAATTTTTTTTAATTCGCTTAGTGGGGGGTGGAGTGCAACGGGGTCCACTCAGAACGGCGGCCACTGATTGGCCTATTGTACCTGCCCCGGGTGATTATGATGATGGAGAATTTGGTGGAATGAATATTGGCAGGGGAAACCGAAGTGCTCGGAGAAAACCCACCCCAGCGCCACTTTGTTCACCACAAATCCCACTTGACCAGACCCGGGGTCGAACCCGGGCCTACGCGGTGGGAAGCCAGCGACTAACCGCTTGAGCTATGGCGCGGCCTAAGTTTAATACTAACACAGAGAGGTGGCCTGCACTTGGAGTATGCAGTACAACGTGAAATTTGGGTTCCAATTTGCTCTAGGACTGAGGAAAACCACGGAGAGCCTTGGTCCGGTTGGCTTGCTAGGAATGCTGACCTTCGTCTCTATTTTTGGTGGTGCTTTAGTCTGAAGTCGTTTGAAGATTTGTTTTGCAGGGGCTGTTTCTTATGCGTACTTTGGGCGATAGTTTTAAACTTTGGAACTCCTCTGAACAATATTTAATAATTCGATTCCCGGTTCACAGAGAACACACTGCATGTCTGCTACAAAGCCGAACCGGTTAATGCTGTTTAGGGAAAGAGTCGCTGTTTACTGTGAGAACCATACGGAATACAGTGATGGACTGTGTAAAAAAAATGCAGAGTTCCTTTAATGTTAATGCGGGTGGTACATATAGTTACCAGTGTCATTTAATGTGTTAAATAAATCCGTGACAAGTTGCTACGCGTGCTGCATCCTGGCGCCGATTCTGTCCTGCACGGGGCAAAGTCCTTTTTATAAGCTAGTAGTCGCTCAGCAAGTCAAGAAATTAGTCCTCCTTTATGGAACACAAAGGTCCATTACCGAGTTCACAAAAGCTTAACACTAGACCATATTCTGAGCCATAGCCACACGAGACTGTGTGCAACAGTTCTGCCAGATACTATTGCAGTGATCAAGTCAAGGTGGATTAGATGGGTATGACATGTAGCAGGCATGGGATAATTTTGTAAATACTGATTGGCAGGAAAACCTGAGGAAAAGGCTGAGAATTACACGCAAGAGTAAGATTAAAATTGTGGACTGGATTCATCTGGCGTAGGGTAGGGAATATTCTCGGCTCTTATGAACACGATAACGAGCCTTCTGCTTCCATATAATGCAGGGCAGTTTTTTGACTGCCTGAACAACTGTTAGCTTCTCAAGCAGGACTCAATCCTTGAAGTTAGTTAAGAGTACAGCTTGAAGGCTGTGGATGTAGCTCCCTGTTATGTTTCCTCTTATGTGCCATTATTCTTATCAACATAACGAGCAGGTTAGCATAGCTGTACCACTCTAGACTCGTATTCGGGAAGTCCTTCGTTCGAATCTCAGATCCTTTCTAGTCTATTCATGAGTGAACTGAACGCGCGGCGCTGTACAGTCTAGATACTGAGAACGTCGTGAAATAAACAAGTAAGCATTTCTTGTGACACATGCCCTCAAATTGTGTTCCTGCTTTAAAGTGAAGAGAGACCGAGTTTCACACCCACACACATCCCTTCGCTCCACTGAACTTGCATGGCCGACACAGCACGCAGCACCGCCGCTGTGAGCCTGGCAGCAAGGTCCTTATTGATTATCGCTGTGCTCCCGCCCCTGCCTAGGGCCCAAACAGGTGTCTGTCTGAACGGCACTGAACGCCAACTCGCGAACTGGGTTCGAGCTTCACGTGCGCCCCCCTGCCTTCCAGTTTGTAAGAAAAAGTAAGAGCTCTCTGTCACGCTGCCCCGCATGACTCCTGCAAGAAGGTACACGTATATTGACTCCAAGCTCTTGTGCTGATTCCTAGCAACGGACTGAATCACGTGACGAAATGTTAACATCACTGTGGGCAATAAACTGACCGGCCTGTCAGGGCAGCTGGGTCGTTTGGGCCTAGATGCAGGCCCTTCGTCTTACGTCATGGCGTGGAATGGTAGGGTGGTTAATGGATTTGGAAGGAAACGGTCGTGACGTGATCATTTGCCTGGAGGATTCAGGAAAACATCGAAAGGCATTATTCAAGGCAATCGGTGTCCCGGCAGGGATTCGAACCGAATACACATGAAGAGTGTTACCACTGTACCTTCGTGTCTGTGCAGGATGAACCAGCTCGTATTGTTGCCTAACTCGGAGAAGCTTGCAGTAGCTCAGTTGGTCAGGAACGTGAAGGTTCGTTACCCTAGACACACAAGCCAGCCTTATGCCACATCCTGAATGGGATGAATCCATTCCGTTACATTTAAGATCCTTTTAATATTATCATCCCACATACCTCCAGTCGCCCCCCCGGTGACCTCTCTCGTCAGGTTTTCAGACTAAATTTTTGTGCATTTCTAATTTACCGTCTGTCATCAGTGCTACATGCCCTCCCCCCCCCCAATGCATCGTGCAACTGACAGCCGACGCCGAACTCCAGTGCAGGCCACTCTGACATCGTTTCTTGGTCTAATGTTGCAGAGGCGGAGGGGCGTGATGCTCTTACCTTTATGCAGACGTTTGCAGCTGAATGACGTCACACGGGTCGCACTATTTGTATGTTGCCTGCGATCACAGTTAATGTTTATAACGCCGGTCTGTAACTCTCGAGACTTCTCTACATGTTTATGCTACACAACCCCATCACCTCTCCGCTTCAATGTACATTTTGCTGCGGTCTGCCCCTCCGTGCTAGTCTTCACTGCATGACATTGCTCGCCTAGCCGATCTCGCTCCGCGTCGATAGCAGCACCTCCTGGCGGTACCTCAGTGATGCCATCTGCTGCAGAAACGGCAAGTTACGGCCTCGGTAGGAATAGCCCCAGTATGTTGCACTTCTCTGCCTGCTTTTTTTTTCTTTTGCTGCTATTTTTGTTTCCTTATATTATTTTTATTTAGAAGGCTGGAATGCAAATTATCGGCTATAGTACCTGGAAATATATTAGCGTCTCTCAAGGCGTCGATAAGTTGCCATGGTTCAGGCATGGGGCTCGGCGGCTGGAAACTGAAATAGTTGAAGGACTTTCCCATGTCTAACAACAGACGCATGCAAACACTTATCTTTACTTACCTCGAAAATTGTAAGGCCTAAGCAAAACGTGCCAGAGCTGTCAAACAATGACATGTAGTCATGAGTCCTGTGGGACTCAACAAAGAATTGGTGTTCTGGCAAGGGTCGTCAGCAAGGCTCCCAGAAGCAGATACATACAGATATGGGGCGAGAATTTGGACCAAATGGCATGTCTGATAGTATTCCTGTGTCAAACAGTTTCAGTTGCTCTCAGATCTTGAGCAGTAGCACTGGAGGTGTGAACTCATGAGTACTGTTGTGCAGAGCTCTGTCTTCTAGGATAATAGCACTACATTGTCCATTGAAAGTGAACCGATGTTTTGGGGGGAAGTGTTGCCTCAATCTTCAGCATCAAATGATCAGCCAAGCAAGAAGAGAAGACGGAGGTGACATGTTCCTCCAAGACATCCATTGACTTACAGTGGACTACACAGTGGTATATCCCATAGGAATTCCCACATTCTCTCCTGTGCTTTCAGAGGATAGATTAGAGAGTGAATTATCTGTGGTTAATACAAGTGACACATTTTACAATGGAAAATGTGTCTGCGCTGCTTGCAATTTAGCGAAAGAGAAACATCTGGAAAACCCAGTCGGTGGGAATCCTGTTGCTAACAGCACCAAGTCCAGCTCTGGAGTCCAAAGCATTGTTTCAGCACTGCCATAAGCAACTCCATGAGACAAGAACATGTTATTGCTGTGACTGCTCTGAGTATCCGCAGAAATGTAATTTGCAGACACTTCAACGTTCAGCCTGAAAGTAATCAAAGTATTTGTTGTGCCAAGGATACGCTACTGTGTGGAAGAACTGCAATGGGAAACCCCTCACCCAGGAGAAATTTAACAGTTTGCTTTTACACTTTGTGGTGGCTAGGGCAGCTTAGCAGAAAGGAAGTAACTGAAAGTATGGCGTTGCAGTGGAGAATTACAGTTCTTGATGGCGATGATCATGAGGATGATGAATTTGGCCAGCTGGAGCAAGGATTTCCTGCGTGGACACTTGCTTTTGAGTGAGTTTTTTGCAAATTGAAAAATCTTGAATTGGTATTTTTATTGGATAATGCACTTGCATGTAATGGGTTAATGCTAATAAGTAAGTAGGGCTGTTATTGCTGGTATACATATTGTGGTTTGGGGTGTGTCACTGATAAAACCCATTCTCCATGCTGAAGGACGCTGTTTTGTATGGCGTGAGCAAGGAGCATCCAGGAATTTGTCATATGCCCTTGCATATCACCTGTGAGGAGCTGGACTTCTTACCTAGGAAGGAGTGCCCAAGATCCCCTTCCCTCACTCAGCCATTGCCCACCAGTCTTGAGGCAGCCATGTAGTGAAGGTGAGCCGTAAGAAGATCATTATCACGTAGGATTTTGGAAACCAACAGTGGGAGGGGCATCAGCATGCTGCAGATTGTAGGAGAATTATAATTTGTGATTGTTGGCAGCCCTCGAGGGACATCAATGGAGGAACTGCTGTCTCAGCTGCCAAAGGATGTGATTGGGTCTGAGCTTAACAAGGAGGATCCCTTCTGCTTTCCACCTACAAGGGAGGTGTGTCACCGGGCACCAGCAGTGAGGAGTCTGTTTGTCTGTGTGAGGACACATGGGTATCAGCATGAGTTATGTTACTCTGAAATGATGGGTATTCTCCTATAGGACTACATGATACTCCAACCTACAAGATCACAGTACGGTGGAGCTGACACTCAGAGAGACAAATTTGTTTGCATATAGATTCCTGATACACTTCTTGTGGGAGGTTCAGTTAACCGTTTGCCATGGACCTAGCACGAATGCTGTTTATGAGTAGGGATTTGCCTCTGTGCTAGGCTGCACGCACAGCAAAGCTCTGTTAGGTAGACAGTTCATTATGTCAAAATAATTATGTTGAAAATTCATAACAAAATGTTTCTGATGTACTGAAATCTTATCCTTTGAATACAGCTGTCCCATGCCTCATATACTTACATTAAGGTTCTGGAAGGATGTTTTTACATGCTGTCATGAGCTTTACTGTTAATGCAAATAACATGGTTGGACACCCTCTGGAAGATATTGTTTATGTTGACAGGGGTTTGGTGGCATCATGATGTCATTGTGTTGGGGCCGAACAAGGAGGATCTAGGGAGGCAGCCATCTCCTCCCTGCAAGGAGGACACTGGCTTAAGACTTGGGAAGGATATGCAGCAAATTCTTCACCTGTTACTGTGCGAAAACTGCCCTACTGTGAGCTAATTGGTAATGAAACATGGCATGCTCATTTATTCAGAAGATTCCTCTACCTCATGCTTCCTTTGCAGAAGGGATCTGTTCTTGAAAACGGGTTTGTAATATGAACACTTTTGTGCCACAGATGTCTGTGTTAGAAGTGGAGATCTATTCCTTCAGAAATTTTATCCAACTTTCTAATAAGGGAATCATGTCTGTTCCTGACATAAAGTCCGGCACAGTCTCAAGTAGGACGGGGACAGTCACTGTACTACATTACTGATACACGTGCGTGAGCTGTGCACATGATCTGTGTACATGCATTGCAGTCTAAATTTGTTTTCTTCTATTTTGTGTTTAAGAGCTTTAATTCTTATCTCAAATTTATGTAAGGGTGAATTAATGATCTTTCTTATTGACTCCTTGGCTTGAGGGCCCTGTAAGAACCCCAACTGTCTTCACAACAGATGCCCTTGCTTTTTACCTTCATTTCGCCACTTTCAGCTCCTATCAGTCATTCTTTGTATCTTCCAGCAATCTCAGTTCAAGCCTGTATATTTTCCCTTGACCTTATGGCTTGCTTACTAAGATTCCTTAGCATCCCTGCTTTGTTCTATTGTAATTGCATACTCGAATCACTTCACCGTTCTAATACTGGCTGCCAGATCAGAGGTTGTATATAGTTTCCTCATTTCTTGGTTGGCTTTGAGTCTCCAAACGTCTTACTCATTAACTGGCCCATTCTTACTCACTCATGGAGATGAGCCCTTCTTGAGGAGCCTCCAATTCTGCAGCTACTCAAGAATTTCCCAGCATTTTATGGAACCCGAAGGTTCATTACTGTGTTCACAAGAGCCCTCCACTAGTCCCTATCCTGAGCCAGATCGACCCAATTCATCCCATCCTGTCTCTCTAAGATCCATTTTAATATTCTGCACCCACCTATGCCTTGGTCTTCCTAGTGGTCTCTTTCCTTCTGGCTTTGCCACCAATGTCCTATATGTATTGCTCTTTTACCCCCATTGGTGCTACATGCCCTGCCCATCTCATCCTTGATTTTGTCATTCTGATTATACTCCTCATTATGCAGTTTTCTCCACCCTCCTGTCACTCCATTCCTCTCGGGCCCATATATAAGCGAACTAGTTGATCAAAAGTAACACACTGATAATGAGAAATAAAGACTGCATAAGTAAAGATTTAATAATTATAACTCTCAAGCAGAAATGCCTGTTCTTTGCCTGTGATAATTTTTCTTTGTGTCAGCATCACAGTATATGTTGGCTAAAACTATTAAGGAGCAAGAAGTTTGTATTTGAAGAATTTTAAGTTGACCTGTGGAGACTTTATGTGCTGTAGTACAGTGATATTGTAGACTGTAAATATGCTATTAAATAAAAAATCCCATTCCTTCTCTGTGTATCCTTGGAAATATACCCCTGGGCTCTCTACAGAAGAGATACTGCTTGCTTGTAAGTATTAAATAAAAGTGATTTCTTTGATCTCTGTGGTGATACTATACAAGCATACAAATTCGCCATTCTGTTGCCCATGCAGTTGGGTTCACAAGTTTGAAAGGTCAAATTATTATCCGGTTATTAAGGCAATTGAGAAGGTAAAGTGGCACATTTTGCCAGCAAAAATGGCACTTTGACTAGCAACAAAATGGCGACATTATGTACCTCCACGATATACCGAATACAAGATTGTCATTTCGTACCCTGCCTATTCGTCGAAAAGAGCTGATTTGGTATCCGGGTACTAAGATAGCCGAGGAGGTATCATTCGTCCTAGTAGATTTCCTCTAGGTAGTAGAGTGGCACATCTTGCCTGCTAAATTCTATCGCCTTCCAGTCCCGCATGAAAATAATGATGCCCAAAATTTAGAAAGTGCATTATATACCTCCTTGGCGATGCTAATACAAAATCGTCATTTTGTTTTCAATGCCTTGCGGCTGCCTATTCCTCAAAAAACAGCAGAATCACTATCCGGGTATTACGATTTTTTTTATTGCTAGTGGGTTGGGACTAAGTCCCTTGTACTGCAGCCACTTCTGGCCTATTGTACCAGCCCCAGATGATAGGTGAGGGTGATTGTGGAGCAATTGGTGGAATGAAGTTTGGCAGGGGAAACCGAAGTACTCGGAGAAATCCTGTCCCAGTGCCACTTTTGTCCGCCACAATTCCCACTTGATCGAACCCGGGCAGCCGCTTGAGCTGTGGCGCGGCCCTGGGTTTCCATGAGGTTTTAGTCTCGAGTGTTCTGGTTTTACTCCACAGATGGCGCTAACGTTAGATACTACATGTTTCACATTTTTTCCCCATTTCTATGCATTGCTGCATATGTGCTTAATTTTGTTAGCTAGGTTTGTAGCAAAAATTTCTACCTCCTTTTCTAACCTATTTCCACGCATGTGCGTGTTTTATCACAGTTTTTATTTCATATTTTCTTGTTAACTCGCGATGAATTAGCTTGGTCTTAAGTGTTTAAATAGCTGCGTGATACGACTGTTGGGTTGACACTCTGTATCTTCCCATGAGGTTACAGTCTCAAGTGTTCAATTTTTATTTCTGGTTAACGTGGTCCCAAGCGATTAACCTTTGACGGCGTTAGTGCCGTCATCGGGCCAGTGATGAATATGGACGCCGGGGTCAAAGTACCACGTTTTGGCGAATCGGGCATTTAAACTCTGAGAGTGAAAGTGCGCGCACACGCCTCTAGTAGAAGTCCATGCGCAGTACTAAATATTTATTTTTAAATTTAGTAATTACCATACAGGCTTGAGTGAAACCCTAATAGAGGAATTAAAATGATACTTAAGTGAACAACAAAAAGTTTTATATGTATGTATACATTTTCAAATCTTCCGTTATATTATGCGACACTATGTTCTTTGCTGATACAGATAACGTCAATTCCATCCATTTATCATAAAAATTGAGTTAGATACAGCATTTTTAAACACAATGCTTAAAATTGTAAGATTTGAGGCTTTCACGGCGGTGACTATGAAGAAAGCAGTCTTCTGGGANAGATTAAGGTGGTTGTGGTCAACCAGTCAGCTGATGCCTCACAGGAGACATACAGAATAAATGATCTTCCTCAGACCAGCCATTTCAGCAAANACATATACACGGTGCCAAATCCCAGAAGACTGCTTTCTTCACAATGCTTAAAATTGTTTAAGCGCCCTAACAGGNTAGCTGAGTAATATCAAGGGTGGCCGGTGGTCTAGAGGTAAGGTGTGTGGTTTAGAAGTTACGTGGGTCGATGACATGAATATTTTTGTGAAAAAAAGAATGTAAGAAATTTGTTCATGTAGGAAGCAAGTGGTACTATATGAGGACGGTGAAGGTAACAAATTTGTATAGATCTGGTGGTACGTGGGTAAGACATTGCCGTAGAATTGTGAAGGTACCGGGTTCTAGACCACGGTGTCTTTTGTCAATAGAAATTGAAAAGTGAATAAATAAATACGATTTTTTCTGCAGCTATAAATCAAGCCGTATAATATAAGGACGATCGCAAACAGCTACAACATACATGTTCTAGTGGTCTATTGGTAAAGCACCGGCGTTGTAAATACAAGGTTGGTGGTTCGAATACAGAAGTGTTTTTGTAATGAGATTTTTATGGAATTATATAGCGAAATATAACATAAGAGGAAGATTACAGCTCAAAAATTTCCGAGGCATCGGTGGCCTATTGGTAAAACACCGGCGTAGTGAACAAGAGTCTGAAGGTTCGAGACCAAGTATAGTTTTGTGACTTAGAAAGTAAGTTAATTGATTTTTCTGGAATTATAACCGAAGATGTAGCTTAAGAGGAAGATAAAAGGAAATAAATTTCAGTGGTGCTGGTGGNTTTTTTTGCGGCCGTTCATTAAGACACTCAACCTAAGCGGGTTTTATTAAAATCCACATGGGATCAAAAATAAAAAAACTTTGGCCCACCATCCGCCCACCAACCACCCGCCCTTAGGGGGTGACTTTGACTTATTCATTTAAGACCAGGTTTTATGAGCGAGATTTAGCAAGAAAATGTATTATAACTGCAGCGCATTCTGTTGACTAGAACCTCATGGAAAGCCACAAAGTGAAGAAAACCATGTAACATCATAGTTTCTTATGACCTGACTTACTGTGCTGTGCCAAGCCGCTCCTCCAAAAATTCATTTTATAGGGCTAGGGGGCCAGTCACCGAGGAAGAGATCGTGGAAGCCTGGCAACCCACCCATGCCCACCCTTAGGTTCATGGAGCAATTTAAATACTTGACACAAGCTTCATCAGTGAGAGTTAACGGTAAATTGAAATAAAACTGCAGCACCATCTGTGGAGTGAAATCTGAACATTACTCCACAGATGGCGCTAGTTATTTTACAATTTCTTCCTAATTCTTGTTCAATGAACTTGTTATCAAGTGAATAACTTGAAGTGACCCCCCAACGGTGAGAAGGTTGGTTTAATTTTTTTATCTTTTTAATCTCATGTGGATTTTAGTAAAACCCGCTTAGTCGAGCGTGTTAATGAATGGCCGCAAAAAAAAAGTCTCCCCTCCGTCCCTTAGGACTACTGACCAAACTGCAATGGTGTCGTCACTTTCCCTTACTGCTCTGTTATGTATCACTTTCCAGGTAACAGAGCAAATGTGTAAAGGGGTTATCAGCCATCCATCCATTTATTTGAACTGNACTTGAAGTGACCCCCCAACGGTGGGAAGGTTGGTTTAATTTTTTTATCTTTTTAATCTCATGTGGATTTTAGTAAAACCCGCTTAGTCGAGCGTGTTAATGAATGGCCGCAAAAAAAAAGTCTCCCCTCCGTCCCTTAGGACTACTGACCAAACTGCAATGGTGTCGTCACTTTCCCTTACTGCTCTGTTATGTATCACTTTCCAGGTAACAGAGCAAATGTGTAAAGGGGTTATCAGCCATCCATCCATTTATTTGAACTGTATTCTAAAACCTTTCCATCTATTGTTGAATCTCCCATCTGGTGTTACAACCACATCAGATGCAATGCAGCAGGAGGAAGGAGAATGGACAAACATAAAAAGGAAGCTTGTACGGGCACAATAAACACAGCAGAACTACATTAAAAACATGCTTTAAATAGAATACATCATACCTGTTAAATAAAAGTACTCTTACATGAAACAAATATTCTGTCCTTAAGTAAACTGCCTCGAACCAACCTTCTGTCAAGAGAGGACTGGCAACACTGATGATACACATACTCATAATTCTTGTATACAAAGCTTCTGAAGTTCAACACAAAATGTTTTTTATCCTATATCAAACATTTTGCAAACTCCAGCAGAAAATATTCAATCTGTACTCTAGCTATGAACCATGCTTTGGTTTCTCTAACCTCAGTGCTGCCCCAGCTAACATGATTAACAACCACTGCTGCACAATATAGACATTCACAATGTCTACACTTCTTTGGTCAACAGCTCAACTCTAAAAATCTTTTTACACAAAATGGCGAGGTGTGTGAATTATGGGCATAACACTGAGAATAATATAAAATCGTATGCATGAAATTTAGAAGCTTCTACTGCAGACCCAACTGAGCAGAATGGGTGTCTCAGAGGGCAATGGGTGAATGATAAAAGTGTGGAAGCAACATATAAATTGTAAAAGTTACATCCTGTTCTCCAGTCTGCAATGCATTCCTGAAGCAAAAGCAAATACTAAAATATTGCCAACATCTGGGTCTGAAAGGAGCCACTGAGGGGAACCATTTAAGAAAGATCTTTTCTTAAATGGATATGAGGGTCTGGTGCAGTTTTATTTCTGTGTGGTCTATTAATATGTGTGATATCAAATGTCATCACATTAGTAAACACCTTCTGTTAAGGGCTGACATATTTCTGTTTATGCCCAAAACCAATAAATTGTAACAACAGTTTAATGAAATGGACATGCAAGCAGCCATGGTTCACACACTCTGATATATGACACAGCACAATGTTACGGAGTTAGCTTAACATGACATACAATTGTACCTCCATTCTCTCAGGGTTGCCAGCTGATGAAATGACTGGATGTAAAACACTGATGGTTTTTTATAACAGGTGGATTAATCTTCATCTATGGACACTGTCCATTGTCATGAATACATTTAAGATATTTTCAAGTATGGGTGTCCCCACCTCCAGGTTTAGAGAAAAGGTGCTGTGCCCACTCCGTAAGGCAAAGCTAGGCACTGGAGGACACCAGAGGCAGGCTATAGACAGTACAGTAGGATGCAAAATGACCACTACCAAAACTCTGTATAAAGTGGACAAATAAAGGGACAGAATCATATATTTCATTAAATCGTTCAAGCATTAAAAGACTGAATGCACATTATACAGAAATGTACCCAATATCAGGGTCCACATTTCAAGAACTCATCATCACTTTGTTCCGTGACTGAGAACACAACAAAGATACCAGTTCCATAATGACTGCAATCTGAAATTAGTCTCAGCATTCTTGCAAACACTTTATTAGTATATATTCTAGCTTTTAAAAAGAGTATTTATTACATTAGCACAGTGGAAAAGGAATGATGACCTTCCTTGGTTTCTATGATCCACATCCAGTAAGAGGCAGGAAGATAACATTCAAATTGATCCTATGGCCCAGGGGAATGTGAAGTACTGTATTGACTCTGGATAGGATTTTGTAAATACAGGACGCATAACAAGAAGTAATTTCAGCTACTGAAGCAAGATACTCTGTGATCCTTTGGCACAAAAATACAAAATGTTCTCACGGCATCCATCAGGTTTACTGACTGTCTTGAGTCTGACAGGTCAGCACTGCAAGATACTGCAATCCATAAAAATAAATGAAAAAAAAAAAAAAATTGATATGAAAGGATGATTCTTGTAAGGAACTTGAAAGAAGCATCTGGCAATCCTAGACTTGTCGGCTCTGTAGCTCGCCTAAGGGTCAACAAATGAAATCATGATGTACCGCGTTCCTTTAGTAACAGGCAGACCCTCATGGTAGTGTGTAAGTCTCCCAGGATGCATCAGCATCCAGCCAAGGCGAGTATCCGTAACACTGCAATTATAGCGGATGAACCTGCATCCACCTCCCTGCAACCAGAGGTGATGACACTTTTTTACAGTTTTGCATAATTACTGCCATCAATGTACCCCCAGCTCATTACTTCTGAGCATCAACAGTTCCTCTCCGCCAACGGAATGTTACATGCCACGACAGCTCCGGCATATAACTTTCACATGCAGTCATGTCCAAAGTGCTAGATGAAAAAGACACAATCTTATTATCTCACCTGATCTGGCCCAGTGCAACATTTCCATGTATGCAAAACTGACAAGTCAGGAAAGCTATGCAATAAATGCATAATTCTGGCATACGAGGTGCTATCAGAGAAAGTTACCTGCATGTTATTGTTCTAACTGCCTCAGTGAAAGAAGATGAGTGGGGACCAAGGGCACACTTCCACAAGTATATTGCATCATCAGTCTACCATTTTACACTGCTGTGAACACGCACTGGCTTTACACGAGTGCTTTTTCAACTTCCGTGTTTCATTTTGTCTGTGATGGGTGGCAAAATCAAACACCGTGTCTGCATCAAGTTTTGCGTGAAGTTTGGTAAATCCACTACTGAAACCCTTGAAATTCTTTGTGAGGCTTTTGGAGAACATTCAATTGTCGCAGTGGAAGAGCCCACAATCACCAAGAGCAAAAAAGGCGCAGCATGCCCAGTGTTTTTTCAACATGAAGGGGATTTTTCACCATGAATTTGTTCCTCGTAACACACTGGTCAACTCTGACTTTACTGTGATGTTCTGAGACACTTGAGAGAAAATGTGAGACAAAAAAGACTGGAACTTTGGTTGGCTCCTTCATCATGACAATGCACCTGGCCACACGTCCCTGAAAGCCACAGAGTTTGTGACTAACAACATGGTTATAATTTCCCCATTCTCTGTACTTGCCAGACTTAGCCCCCCTGTGATTTCACTTTGTTTCTCAAATTGAAAATGAAAATGAGACGACATTCTGAAACAGTGTCTGACATCCAAAGGGAACTGCAAGCAGTACTCAACAGCATTAAGGAAAATGAAATCCACGGTGATTTTGAAGTGTGGAAAAAACGATGGAATCGCTGTATATGTTCCCAAGGAGACTATTTTGAAGGAGATGGAAGCCTAAATTGAGCAAGTTAAGGCAGCATTTCTTTTTTGACCTAGTCCAAGAACTTTCCGATAGCAACTCGTATTCACTTTGTTGGTGACTCTATATTTTAAAAGGCACCCTTATTTAATATGGCTTAAAATAATATATTATGCATAACATACATTTCATTCTTCTTTACCGTTTTGGTTCAATACATTTTTCACTCTAGTAAATATTTGCAAGTCATACTCAATACAAATGCAGGAATGCATGCAGTTTTCATGTAAGGTGTCCATTACTGCTGTCCGACTTAAACTGAAAGTTGAATGCAATGATAAATTTGTTGTAAAGCTACAAAATATCAAACATAACAAAAATACATTCAGTGGTTCCTGTGTTTTTTACACAGGGAGAGGCAGACAGACATGGTGAAGCTAAGGGAAGCATTTCTGAAGCTTTGCTGTGAACAGGCCAACGGTTTCCTTGAAAGCATCTCATTTCAGACCACTCCCATATGTAACATGATGACAATACCAGACATGTTAGACAGCTTACAATGTCAAAAGGTGAGACCTTCAGACGTGTTCACCCTCACTGAAAATCATCAGTGTGTGCTCCTAACACAGCCTGGTTATTTGTCCAGGTGTTAAAGGTTTCTTGTGTTTGATGTACCATACCTCATAGTCTATTTTTGGTCGGTTGAGAGCCACATTGATGGTGTATGTGGAGGAGTCATGGTGTGGTCTCAGCGATGGTTGCTCTTCTGGTCTGTAGCGCACCACAAAGTTCATAAATGCTCGAGGGGGCTGGAACATGTTATAGAACGTCTCACTTCTGATATTTCTAAATTAATTATGGCAACAACACTCTCTGCCTCAAGGACAGTCTTATTAAAGTTTCCCCTTAGCCTAAGCACAACACCGTGCGGAGATGAAGCTCCAGAACCATTCTTGCCCCTGTCAGGCTTTGACTTCTGGCTGATGATCCCACATGTAGTCATCACTTTGGAATGAGACCTTGATCACAGTAAGAATATTTGTATATTTCTGTCAGTAACATGGGACCCTCTAGCCACTGCCATCTGTACGTGTGAAGAAGAGAAAAAAGAAAGAAGAATAAGAAAGCACCAGCAACTTTCCTGTCTGCTTCCTATTTCTGACTGCAGACTTAACAGAAAACACCAAAAAATGTTATGAAATCTACTTGGTTCATGGTAATTACTTACTGCTGTGTATTGCAGAATTTTTGGGTCCAAGTCAAATCCTCATTGAACCTCTTTATGTACATGAGTAAATTTGATTTTTTTAATTTGAGTCTTATTCATTCCTTACAGCTGTAGCTACTGTATATTGAGATATTAACAAGAAAAGCAACCTTATCTTGGATGGAGCATGGGCAGGCCTGTTTGCTAATATTAAAAAAAGAAACGGTAATGAGCAATTTGTCAGTATAAAGATAACCAGTTACCTGAAGACAAGAGTACAACCAGCTCACAAAATGCTGTGCATATGAAATACAGTCCCAAACAATGGACAGTGTCCCACACAGTACTGCCATAACAGCATCTGTTGTGTGTACAGTAATGATGCTTGTTGTTGTCATAATAAGTATATATCGAAAGGTGGAACAGAAATATTACAGTGCATACATGGCCATTTTACTCTAATGAATATGTCAGAAGCCAATGCACTGTTCCACAGAACCTGCACACTTACAGTCCCTCTTATCAGACAAGACTTCAATGTCAGTTCAGCGCAGAAGTCCAGCATTTCAGAGACCTTCTCTGTTTCCATCATCATAGATCTCCAAAGATGGAAGGAGAAATCTCTGAAACATTGGACATCTGCTCTGAATTCATACTGATGTTCAGCTGTGAAGATGTTCTCAGATTATATTGCACTGCAATCTGCAGCCTCTGCCACATAGGAACAGGGTACCGCAGTGAATATAAAGCACAGAAGGTATGACACAACAGACATACACATGTTGCAGTGCAGTACTTTGTATTCAGAAGGGTCCAGTTTTATTCTGTGATTTCTTTCATGCTTTCCAAGCAAGTGGTTTGCCACTTCATTTCAAATCCACACCACATAAGCCAATGTACAAGAGAGAAACTAAAGCTTATCTTACTGAACTGTGACACCAGTATCAAAATGAGTACTGACTGTGCGAGACACATGCAAGCAAGGTGCAACACCAGGCTATACAACTGTTCCAGCCTCTAGGTCTACCAACACCTCTTCTTCCTTGCTGACAGGAATTCAAAAACAGTTTTTGTAATTTGAGGCATGGCATTCTGCCTGCACATAAATCTAGTTTGTCCCATTCAATAATGAAATGTAGATCTTTAACATCACTGTCATGACTGTAAAAGTTCCATGGTAATGGCATTTCAACCGGGCCAACACTGTCCTTGAAAACAGTATTCTAGAATTAGAATAAGTTTCACCTCTTGACTATCTCAGATCTCACTTCAGGTATGATGAAGCATGTGAACATCGATTAATATGTCCAGCCATGATCAACAAGAAAAGAAACACAAATCAGATATTTATTAAAAAGTTATAACAGAAAATTCTTTGTGTTCTTTTCACTTTGTGATGAGCAGCTAGCCCATGTTAGGTGGGTCCCTTGTCACCACGGCACTGTGCGTCCACAGGTTGCGGATGGAGGAGATGCCATCCAGGTATGGAGGGTAGCTGCGAATACTTTGAATAAGCTGTTGCGGACAGCTGACAAGGCGTGGTCCTCCAGCTTGGAGGTTGGGTGTGGGGCTAACAACTACTCACCATAAAAAAATAAGCTTGTTACAAAAATGTTCAAGAAGCCTTGGACCTGGATGGATTCTGCTGATAAACGACCTAAGTGCTTTAAGTCCAGAACCTTTTGTCTTTTCTTCTGCTGCCCAAAAAAAAACATAAAAACTACAATATACAAAACTATAATTTTGCCTGTGGTTCTATATGTATGTGAAACTTGGTCTCTAACATTAAGGGAGAAACAGGCTGAGGGTGTTTAGGAGAATATTTGGACCAAAGAGAAATGAAGTGACAGGAGGTTGGAGAAAACTGCATAATGAGGAGCTCCATAACTTGTACTCTTCTCCAAGTATAATTAGAATGATCAAGTCAAGGAGGATGAGATGAGCAGGACATGTAGGACGAAAGGGGGAAAAGAGGAATGCATATAGGATACTGGTGGAAAAGCTAGAAGGAAAGAGAACACTGGGAAGACCAAGGCGTAGGTGGGTAGACAATATTAAAATAGATCTTAGAGAGACAGAATGGGATGGTATGGACTAGACAGATTTGGTTCAGGATAGAGACTAGTGGAGGGCTCTTGTGAACATGGTGATGAACTTTTGGGTTCATAAAATCCTGGCAAGTTCCTGAGTAGCTGCACAATTGGCGGTTTCTTAAGAAGGGGTCAGCTCCATGAGTGAGTGATGAGTAACTAGCAGAGCCCATTAGAATCTACTGGCAGCCATTTGTTCACCCTTCAGTCAAACAATATATGTACACTGTAGACGACCATTATGTAATACTGTCCACTAACTCTACCTTACTTCTCTCATACGCACTTCAAAGGACAGGCCCAGTGATAAAGCCCCAGTCCCTCATTACACCCAAAAGCCAAAGACACGGCCAGTCTCTGGAATGTCATACACACCTACGATATGGAACCTTTAGAGACACACAAAACACTACATAAGGAGTACATACAAACAACACACATTCTGGCCCAAAGCACATGTACAGCACCCTATCCCCTCCCACCCATCACCAATGCTGCATCATCAAACAGTGTCTTACACCAACGTAACCAATAAACACTCTCTCTTGCAGTGGTCCCACAAACTCCTCCAGAAAGTAGTCCCATTGTTCCTTGAGTCCCACTTGTTTCATGTGGATGTCCCGTGTTGGCACTGCTTCATACCCCCCCTCGATACGGTCATCCTGGCGGGCAAGCCCCACAAATTAGTCTTAAACGTAAAGATACCCTTGGAAACATCCATCTTGTACCCACATCACAATCAGTCAACTCCAGCACAAGTTTATTTCTCCCCAGAGCTAAACTTCATTACTGAGTCTGGCCCGAACCAAGGACAGCCAGTCACACACCTCACATGAGTTTAGAAAATCAACAGAATCATGATGACTGACGGGAAATCTGAAATGTTCCAATTCTTGGAATACAAGACCAAAATACATGTATTTTCCATGCATTCTTTGGTCATAATGTCCATTTACTGTAGCTACACATCTGCTACTGACCAGTACCAGTACTATATCCGCTTGTATCTTGTTAAACACTGACCGCACTGTAATACATTTCAAACAGCATCTTAAAGACACATATTCTTGACATATTTCTGTCATTTTTAGAGGTCATACTGGACTATTCTGAACAAAATTAAATTTGACATGATAACCTTCAGTGTAAACTTTCAACACAGAAATCCATCAAGCACTGTTATGCAGTAGTTTACAGAGCACCCCCCGCTCATGCACTTTGTGCTCTACAGTTTTACAGCCTGGTCAGGCTAGTCACAGAGCATCCAATTGTATGTGGGACAAGACAGGGTTCCCTGAAGGGGGGAACATACATCATGGAAGTATCCGGTGAACACCAACTCCTGCAGTGGTCGTACATACAGACGCAACACCTCCAACCAGTGAGCCTCCAATCCAACCTGCTTCATGTGGATATCACGGGTTGGCACATTCTCATAACCACCGTCGAGCCGTGGATCCTGTGAACATTGGCTCACAGACACTAGTCCTAACAATACAGCAGTTCTGGCTTCTACAACAATCACCTTGTTATGTCTTGAATGAAACACTTGAAAATCTAAAAAGATACTCATTCCTTAAAATGAATGAACAAAAATTAAATTCTATTACATAATAAACCAATACCATGGTACAGAAGCTTATTTTACAGCTGGCAGTTACTCAGCTGCTCAATAAATTCTCTACCTTTATGTAACACAAAAGTTCTCCTTCCTGTATTCACAAACATCCACACTGCACATAAGTGTCATGAGATGGTTCAATCCACTCTATCTTTTCACTCTTATTATTCTAAGCTCCATTTTCATACCATGCTGTCCCATCTGCACCCACCTGTGCTCCACTGACCTCCCTTCAGGGTTTTCATCCAAAGTCCGTATCTGTTTCTCATCTCTCACATAAAAAACTCTGTGGTCTGTAGTTCGCAAGCAAACTCACATGCCTGCTACATATCCTCCCCATGTAACCCTCCTACATTTAATAACCATAACAATATAGACTGCAGAGTACCAACTATGAAGCTTCTAATTATCCAACATTCTCTCTCCTCCTCATGTCCAGATGTGCTCATCAGCGCCCTGTTCTTGAACACTGCCAATCTAAACATACGTAGGCTGTTGACACAAATGCTCATCTTTCTCACCTTGTTGGTGCCATCCGACCACTGGCCATAATGTTCCATGATTTCAATGAACTCCTTGCAGAAGCGGGGATTCACCACAGGAAACCAATACACATCTGGACATGGCTGCCAACATACACAATACAGACATATACAACTTCCTAAATCTTACACTTTGCACATAGGTTCTTGGTCAATTTACCAACACTCTATCAACTGAACTTCGCAGCATTAAACAACAGACATTTAAGTGAGAAGTGATGAGGAGCAGTTGTTACTTTGCCCAAAGGGAATGAGGAACTCAGGGAAGTCAGTCACTAGTCTAACATTCAAAGTCTCTGTTTAGAAGCAGCTACTGTAAGTTGCTTTCTGAGAAAAAAAAGTAACACAGGAAAATATATTGTACTAAATTCTGAATGGGCAGGTCAACTTGATATGACTCATGTAAGAAACTCAAAATACAGCCTTATTCATGAAATCTGGTGTGAAGACAAAACTTAATGGAATAAAATCGAGGATCTGCAGAGTCCTTCTTTCCCGTGACAAATTGTGGTAATGTTGATGTCTCCTGGGTTATAACCAGAAGTACCCATTGCTTTCCGTGTCACTATCACAGTATATAGCAGCTAGAACTTTAAAACGGGAATAATATTCCAATTAACAAACCATAAAGAGACTGGGGGTGAGCATTTCAATTGCATCCAAAAACTCTACTGCTGTATTTGTGCATCACTTTACAGCCATGGTTGCCATATGTATTGGTAAGAATATGGAGTAAATTTCATATCCTCCAGTGCTGTCTATTAGGTATGCAGTAGAAAAACAGGAAACAGAAACGTTACACTTTCATGCACATGCTACATGTCAAAAGGTCATGAGTTTGATTCCTGATGAGGTCACTGGATTTTTCAATTGACCTAATCCTTCCAGCCGCACTACAGCCCTGGGGTTGACTCAGTCTCACTGATGCATGTGCGTGTGCACACACTCTCTCTCTTTCTATATATATATATATATATATATATATATATAACAGAAATGAGTACCAGGAATCTTCCTGTGGGTAAAGGGCAGCTGCCACATAAGACTGACAACCTCACCTCCATCTGAGAGCCGAGTCTCCAGAAAATGCACAACCCTGTAGGCCTGTTACAGCAACAGCTTTACTTTTTACTACATAAAACATTCCCAGTTTGTACAGTAGTGTTCACTTACATGCGATGCACATGACCAACTGGGTGAAATGAAACACTTACATAAAAAGAAAACAAATGCAAAGAAAGGGTGGAAAATATGAATGGATGAAATCAAATATATATGGGTTACAATAATTACAGCGCTGGAAATAACGTGAAGGAAGGAGACTCAAATGGGGAGTCCCTGAAAATGGAAAACCTCAAAGAGAAGGCCATCCTACAGTTCGGACAGGTAAGACGCTGGCCTTTCACCAAGAAATGTGGGTCTGATTCCAAGGCAGTAAATGAGTGACTCTTAGATCTGAAGTTCTCACAGCAGGGGTTCTGGGATGTGACACTGGTCAATCCTGGTTACAGGTCCCAGCCGGGATCCGTGAGCATATTTTTGTTCTTTCCAAGACTCTTGAGTGTTTTGAAGTGGGGCCTATTCTTTGATGAGATGAGGGATCTGACTACCACTCATCACTCCCCTCTACTGGGGGTGAGGCACTGTGTAATCTGGCAGAAAACGACCAATAGACTGGAGTAATACAGTTCTTCCAATTTTCAGTTCAAAGAGTAACCCAAGTAAACAGAATGAACAAGCCTGCTGGGCTTACTCCTCCTCAGTCTTTACGATCGAGGCACTGCGCTCACCCCCCCACAATGTCAGCGAAATTAGGCCAGACTACATAGCAGCATGACCCATAAGAGAATACTCTTTGTGTGGGACAGGTGGTGTGTGGTGCAGAAATATTCCTAGTATTTCAGTTTCCATTGGCTGTCCTTGCTTCAGCCGTACTCATCTGAGGCATAATGTACCCTCACTTGGAGCCAGCCCCCTTGTTGGACTTACCTGTGCGATGGTGTTATTGGGGTTGAAGTTCTCAGTATAATTCTCGTGTAGGTACCGCTGTTCCCAGTCCCACCGGTTGTCGAGGAGCTGGTAGATTTCGCTGTTTACACGACTTGTGTCAAAGTTGTCTGCATTCACCAGGTGACCGAAGTCCACACGATTAGTGACATACATGAAAACATCCTGCAACGCACAATGTGTGTCACTGTAACATGCAAGGTATTATAGAACCCAGAAGTTCATTACCATCATCACAAAAGGACACCACTGGACCATGTCCTGTGAAATAAATCCAGGTCACATCCTAGCAACCTGTTTAAAAAAAAAAAAGTAAAGTAAAGTTATCCCTGTAACAGGCCATGATGGCCCACAGGGTTGTGAGACGTTGAGGGTCCCACATTATCTAGACAATCGACTCAAAGATGTCGGTAAGGCTGTCAGCCTTACTCGCCGTCCGCACTTTACTCCCCAGGAAAATTATTTAATTAATTCCTGGTACTCATTTCTGTTAAGAGGCTGAGACGACCCCAGGGCCATAGTGTGGCTGGAAGGATTAGGTCAATTGAAAAAATCCAATGACCTCATCGGGACTTGAACCCGCGACAATACAGTATTACTCTCATATCTATGCCCAGGTCTCCAAAGTGGTATCTTCCCTTTAAAGTTTTAACAACATAAATTTATTATGCATTTCTTGCTTTTTCCTACATGCTACATGTCCAGTCCCTCCCAATATTTCTGACTTATTGTTCCACTGACATTTTGTGAAGAGTACAAATTATGAGGCTTCTCATTATATAAATTTCTGCATCATTCGATCATTTCCTCCCTCTCAAGTCCAGATGTTCCCCTTTAGCACTTCACCCTCATGCACACTCAGTCTATGTTCTTCTCACAGGATGACAAAGTTTCACACATGCATACAGAAAAACAGAAGATTAAGTTTTATTCTGAGACACATACATAGCAAACAGCACTGCAGGAAAAAATTTAACACACTGTATCCTCCAATTTGACTGTCGCTACTCACCTTCTCTCTCATGTTGGTGCAGAACGCCATGTCAGCATCCAGCTGGTTGTACATATACGATGGCTTCAGCTCAGGGTGCCTGATAAGTGCTCCTTTTATCAGGTAGCAACTGTTCACATATGGCACATTCCACACACCACTGAACACAAAGCACAACTCATGACAGCTACACAAAAATCCAACCTGTCACTCAGGCAGTCATATGAAGTCTGACAATAAAGTTCGCGAACTCGCCACCATGTGCTTGCCCTAGCAGTAGTGGACAGAAACCTCAGTATGGTTTGATGACGTTGGCATATTAGCGTTTCACAGCGGTGTTCTTGTTGATCTATGGCATTCCCTTTCTGAGTGGTGTCTATTATTGTCTGAGTGTGTTTTGATGTGCTGTCGCAAGAATGTTAGAACGAACATTAAATTTCTTGTTAAAATTGGCAAGAGCAGAAGCAAAATCAGAGAGATGTTAGTGCAAATTTATGGGTATAATGCTATGAAGAAAACAGCAGTTTACAAGTGGGTGACACGTATTTGTAAGGGAAGAGAAAGTGTCATTGATGAAGAGAGATCAGGACGGCCAGCAACAAGCAGAATTGAAGAAAACATTGCAAAACTTCGTCAAATTGTGTGTGAAAATCATCGGCAGACTGTCAGAAGCATAGCAGAGCAAAGAAACGTCGACAGAGAAACAGTTAAGTAAACCTTAACTGAAGATCTTGACATTAAGGTGTGTGCAAAAATGGTCCCAAAGGAGCTCACTGAAGAACAGTGTCTGTGAGGGAGTTTTCAGCTAGTAAACAAATAACTGTGCTGGAACACCCTCCCTATTCACCAGCTCTAGCCCCCACTGACTTTTTTCTGTTTTTGAAGATAAAATACTGAAAGGAAGGCATTTTGATGACACCGATGACATCAGGAGTCATACGACAGCAGTTCTGAAGGCCATTCCACAAAACCAGTTCCAAAATTGTTCTGAAGGGTGAACTAGGCACTGGCATCATTGCATAGCTTCCCAATGGGAGTACTCTGAAGGCGGCCACAGTGAGGTAAGTAGCACTTTTACTGCAATGAGTTCGCAAAACTTTATTGTCAGACCACATACGCATCCTACTTCTCTGCCTCACACACTGCATGATCACAGTGACTCACAAGTCGTCCCCAGCTGAACTCACAAAGCCTAATTTCCTATTTCACATATTTTTAATCCCACAGATATATTATTATAATTGCTGTTATTTTGTTTTTTCTTTAAGTTACAGTACGTATTGATTCTGCCTACGTTAACCTTGTTGGATGTAACTTCAAAAGTCTGGCAACTGATGATATTTCATAGGCAACCTTACAAACAATATTCATACATAATGTATATCAGTATGTTTGTAATCTATTTCAATAGCATAATTCAGAAGTCTAGCTATACTGGTTCACTAGTTATCAGCATCAAACGAAAAGCTGAAGATGCTCTCACAGCAGCTTTGTTGACAAATGAGGAAACAGACAAACAGGCAGCATAGTGATCTCATGATGTACTTTAATTCTTTAAGAAAGGAAGTAGGCCAAGAATGAAATAACCCTATTTTCCAGGAGAGTGTTTGGTTATGTTTCCCTGTGAACACAAAATGTTTATAAATTCAAACTGACAAATGTATTCACAATGTTAAGAATTGTTATGTTTGTGAAAAATGGTAAACAGAAGCCATTTCTGATCTTTGCACACATCAGATGAAGTATCTTTAAAAATGTATGGCCTATTCTGACCAGTATCAATGGAAGATACAGGTTATGTACAAACAAAAGAAGACAAAGAAGATAAGGGGAAAACAAGAACACGACTACTCTACAGATATTAAACATCAAATATACTACATTTTGACTGACATATGGAAGCTACTGGGAAAAGAAAACTGCAAAGATACTTCCACAGCAAGGGCAAGAATAAAGACGGTAAAGGATTAACCATCAAAGTAAACAATTTTCCTTTGCCCTTATTTGACATGTTGCTATAGTGCACATGCTAACATATTTATATTTCCAATAAAAATGTGGCACATACACAACTGATACTTCCCAGTAACAGCCACCAGAATGTGATGGCTTCTTGCCCCAAAAATTAAACCTTCCTATCAAAGAGTCAACTTGACTCTTGAAGCCACAGTTGTCGGCACAGTGAACACATGATTGTCACCACCCTGTCCAGTCACCAGTCCACTGAGACCTGTTATGGATACTACAGTGGTAGTGGGTATGAACGTTGCTATCTCTTGGGTAGGATGCTGCATAGTTTGACAGACAGGCACCTATATATCAAACTGCATACAATCATATTCCACAAGCCCAGAATGTATTACACACATAATACATTTGCCAGTGTAGGGAGAAATAGCAATTAAAAAAAAAAAGATAGGCAAATATACTAATGTATTACCTGATGATGGCCAGAAAGGGCCAAAACATGTAATGTGTGTGTATGTATGTGTATATATATATATATATATAGTGTAGTTATACACACTATGTACTGGATTTTCCAACTGACCTAATTCTTCCAGCCTTACTATGGCCCTGGGGTCGACTCAGCCTCAAACAGTGTGTAAGACTGAAACCTCACTACCACCAGTGAGCCGACTGTCTACAAAATGTGGGAGCCTCAATGTCTCACAACCCTATGGGCCTCCACGGCCTGCTACAGGGATAACTTCACTTTTTTTTCTTGCCATTGTGGTGACTGAACATGATATTTTTGACAAAGTTCACAGTTCTTATGTTCATGTATTTTTCTCCTTCAAATGATGTATATTTCTCATAATGCTATGTTCTGTCTGGACTAACAGTTTCTCTGGTTGTAACTGAATGGTGCAGCCAGTCTGGAGGGACCCAAGATAATAAGCAAAGCCCCAGTCTCCTTCATACTGAAGCATGAGGGGCTGCTAATTGATGCCAATTTTCCACTCAATAAAATGATGGTAAAGCAATCTGACATCCTAACATTACTGGCAGTTGTTTCTTATATAATGTGACAGCAACAAGGGCTCAAGCACCATCTCTCTCTATACCACCCCACTGATTGCTGACCCTGTGCCTTGGAAGTGTACGTGGCTATGGAGGTATTCTGAGCCTCCATAATGCATCGAGCTTCACACTAGTGTCCAAAGGTTAGGTACAACACGTTTCATTAACGCACAATTTTCCTCCTCCCTACATACACATGAAGTCTACCTAGTCTATAGCAAAACAACTGATCTGTTTTAACTTAAGCTGTTACTGTACACGTGGAGACCCAGCGACACACACAAGAACAGGAACTGGGCACATTGCAGATGTCTGATTGTTCAGCAGCAAAACACTGAACATAAACACACTGGGGTTCCACTACTGCATTTGCAACATGCTTCATACGTTCTCAGTGACAAGGTAGGCAGAAATCAGTGAATAAATAAATAAATACAAGATTCAGACCTTCAGTGTAAATAAAAGTAAAACTAAACACGGAAACATTATTCATACAGTTGACTCTGCAACAATGTACCTACATGCTGCATCAACTACTAGAGTCAGCATGGGCTGAGATATGGCAATTATAATACATAGTGAACTGGAGGGACAAGAGAGGAACCAGGAACCAGTTGTGGACTGCACTCTGCTTAAGGTGTCCTGCTGAGCCATACTCCACCCATGAGCTGATGCAGAGGTGACTGACAGCAATCATTCAATTGACTCACTGGACAACGCAATAAGAACTAGAGCCAAAAAGAGACTGGACACAGCCACAGTAACATGACAGTTTACGGTAAGCAGGAGTGACAAGATGGGACGCACGCTGCTGCTAGGGGTGCTGATAGGTTGCCTCCTCTGTGTGGACATGGTCACAGCGGCCCGTGGAGGCAGAGGGGGGGGCAAGGGTCGTGGCACCGGTCGTAAGGGATACGGTTCCAGGATGCCCGTCCTGATCCAGCATCGCAACCCTGCAAGCGCAAGCTACTACAACCACAAAGGCGTAAGTACATGCACCACATGAAGACAAACCAAGCCAAATCTCACTCAAACACAGAGTGTTCCTCAATGGTACAGACAGTACACTGCACATTCTGTCAAACGCTTATGTATTCTGCCAAATACGTGCCACAAAGAAGAATGCTGTAGACCTTTAGGTCTATTTATTACACTATATATCCACATTTTCAAGATAATTTTTTTTAAACTGATGCCTGTAACTTGAGCTTCAAGTAATGGTTATAGTGAAGTGGCCTCAAATATGCCCAGCTACTTTACTTCGAAGCACTCCACTACCACAAAGAGTTCTCCCCTTTCAGACATACCCCCACATAGTCCGATAAAAGTAAACCAGTGTTTTGGAGGAACATATGGCCTCAAAGTCCAGGGTCAAAAAAGTAAGCCCAGTAAAAACAGGTTCAACCCTGACAATGGAGGTGACATATTCTTCCAAAGCGTTGGTTGACTTTTACTGGACTATGTGGTCCTACGTCCCAGACAACAGAATTCTTCATAGCCACTGCTGTGAGAACCTTAATACTATCCAGTCAGCTCCTACACTTCACTGTCCCGACAGTAACGCAGAGCCAGCATGCATCGTACAGTTCAATCCTTCATCTTTCTCAAAACCAAATTTCTCCCTAATTACTTTCTTTTTAGACACTTGCAATTTACATGTTTCATGGGCACACAAGGCAAGTGGCAAAATTACTGTTTCGTAGATTCTAGTCTTAGGCATTTTGGCCAACAGACTGCATGACAGCAGTTCTTGAGCAGAATAAAAACAAGAACTTTAATTTCATCATGAACCTCATTTGTTTGTTGGATCTGATGATCTCACTGGTGACAATGAAGAGCACTACCTTCTGAGATGTGAAGCAGTACAGAATAGTTGAAGCTCACCAGTGTTTTGATGGAACGCACTGCACGGAGCCAGCGGAACATAATGCACAGAGATGAAACATCATTTCTGCCAGACAGTGTTACATCCCAGAAGACAATACTTTTGAACCTCATTTCCATGTGTTAGGGTTGTTACCAGATAATTAGAATTTTAAACATGCTCAAATAATTTATTAAATGTAATTCTATTATGGTTCCACCTTCTCCACATAATGTAATGTTGGTGTCCTGACAACTACACAACCAGCCTCATCCTTGACACCAACTCAACAATGTCATCTAAAGAGGAGACAGTAAATCAGCTGTACTGCGTTCTTTGCAGGGGGCCAAGATTGTCAACTCATCACACTTTGAGCTCGACTACATGCTCGGCCGCAAGATAACGTTCTTCTGCATGGCCCAGGGGCAACCCCGTCCACATATTACATGGTTTAAGGAAGGGATTGAGCTGTATGCTCACCAATTCTTCCAGGCAAGCGATGTCAATAACAAATCAAAGTTTTTTATCTAACAACACAAATTATTACACACATCTGCTATGCTCACAGTAATTATATTTCACATTATCATTTACTGCTTAAATTTATTTTAGTGTCAACATACGTCTAATGGAGTCCAACTGCACAGCCAATGCAAAAGCTGCTGATTTCATATAACATATTACTTATTCAACAGTAATAAATTAGTCACCTTCTATTAATTAATTCGTTCAATAGCCAGTTAATGAAAATGGTGAAGTCCGTTAACCCCTCTCCCCTTAGGAATCACACTGCTACAATACAGCTGAAGAAGAAGAACTCTTTCCATCCACTTTTGTCATACTTTTAGCATCTCCTCAATATATATTTCTTAGTTCACTTAACGTGTTCTCAATTACTATGTTATACAGCACTGAGTGTAGATAAACTGGTGAGGCCATGGAAGGAAACACAGCTGGCTACATTCTCCTGGACAGACAAGCAGATCATTTAAAATCTCAGACAGCAAAGTCAACCTCCTAAATTAAACAGGAAACCTAAAAATAACAGAGCAACATACATTTCCCTCCCCAGTAGAACTTATAAGTTATTATGACCTAATATTGTGGTGACCTGGGGTGTGGTACCATGTACAGGGTTAGATAGCTAGCAACATTCCAGAGGAACATACCGCTTCCGTCAGGGTAAAGAATCTTCCACCCTGAAGTTGGAATAACTTATATTCTTGTTTTCAGTCTATAATGCAACAATATTAATTTAACAACATTGTTGCATCATAGATGGAAAAGAAGACTATAAGTTATACCTCAATGCAACAGGATGCTGAAATATAATATTCTGAAGCTGAAAGTAACAGGTTATAAGGCCATGAGAACCTTGTCACAGATTGAACTCTTCTCCCAGGTACACGAGTGGACAATAGGAGATGACACGCTGAAGTCTAAGATGGAGATTGACCCTACAGCACAGAAAGATGCAGGATACTACGAGTGTCAGGCAGACAACAAATATGCCATAGACCGCAGAGGATTTCGCACAGACTATGTCACGTACACATACTGACACTGTGGCATCTCAGAGTATGGAGCATTCCTCCACTTGTTTCTCCAACCCCTGCACCTTCCATGAACATCACTAACTTACTGCATGAGGCAAAGTCCTTCCTTAGAAGCCACTGCTCCATCTGATGGTCAAGAAATCCCCTGCCTTTACGGGACCCAAAGATTCATTACTGTGTTCACAAGAGTCTGACACTGGACCTATTCTGAACCAGACCAACTGAGTTGTCATCCTGACACCCTATTTCCTTAAGATCTATCTTAATATTATCCCGCAACATATACCTTCGTCTTCCATATGGGTTCTTCCCATCAGGTTCTCAAACCGAAATTGTGTTGTATACATTTCTAATATCTTTATGTTGCATGCCCTGCCCATCTCATCCCCCTCCTTAACATGACTCCCTAATAATTAATGTTCAGCAAAAATAACAAATTATGAAACTACTTATTTTGTACTTTCTTCCATCATCCTGTTACCGCCTCCCCTTTGCATCAAAATGTTCCCCACTAAATCTTATTCTGTTAGCATGAGCAACAAATTTTGCCATCCATATAAAACAACAGGTGAAATTAGTTTTGTATATTTTAATGGTTATGTTTTTATACAGGAGATAAGAAAATAAAAGATTCTGGATTGAAACATAGCATACATTTCCTTAATTTAATCCGCTCCTAGTTTCTTCAAGATCTGCTACCACCACTCCCAAACATCATTACCTCTGTCACATTTTTAAGGAATTCCATATATTTATATAATTGTACACATTCCTCCCTGTTCTGTCAAATTTTGTTGTTTCCATTCACTTCCTTGTCAAGTACCCCTCCCCTTTGCCACCATCATTTCACTGTTCTTGTACTATCAGCACGGTGAACTCATGGACATGACGACACAGGTCACAGGGGCAGAAAGGAAACACAAAATGTCAGATAAGCTGTTCAAACGCCCAAATTTTTGGGAAGGGAAAAGCTAAGGATGACATGAAACTGCCCAGCATGTGGCTTTGGGGCTGATGCCACTGTCACAGTTGGTCCCACCTGCTCAGTACTACTCCAGCAGCAACCATTCCTGTCTTCCCCACAGCTCTTAACCTTACACCCTTCATCTTGCCTTCTCAACCCCCCAAAATGATGACATTTCTGACTTTTATATATCCTGGTGCTGGTCAGTACAGAAAAGCTACTGTTAACCACTACAGCATAGAAAAGACTACAAATATTAGTCTTCTGTGATGTGACACCTTGTAGTCTGGCAGATCATTACCAGTGTCTGTAAGGAACCGTCCACCTCTATCCTCAGGATATAAAAGTGGGCTGTGTGCACCAAAGCTGCACAGATATAGGGACAGGGTGGCACAGGAGCAGGGCCATGAATAAATCAATAAGAGCAAAGAGGACAGTGCACACAGCACTGGCCCTTCAAAGGGCATCACATCCCAGAAGATGGTCAGATTCACCATGGCCACTGCTGTGAGAGCCTCAAATTACAAGACCACCTGAAAGTGAAGATACAGGACAACCTGTTGCTTATATCACACTGCAACCGGAAATGTACGGTGAGATCCCACTAGGCATACTGCTTCACGTAACACTGATCCGTTTAGAAATGATCAAAGAAACCTGACAGATGTTGCAAATCTAAACACACCTTCATCTTTACGTCTGCTGTCTGTCACTCCGCTCTCAGTTCAGAGAGTTTACAATATCCCTCAACCACAATGTCTGAAGGATTTAGTTCCGCTGATGCAGTGATGTCACAGTGAACGTAAACATGTAAACACTAAGAAGAGTGCAAATCAAATGCAAGAGTCATCAGGGTATTAAACTTATCTCAGAATATCTCTGAAGCAGAGAGCCAAATAAGGAGATGTTCTCTTTTATTCATCTGTAATATAAAGAACAGAACAAATTAAAGTTTAAAGTTTAATCATTTCATTAAAAAAAGTGGGAATAAGGATTCAAACTGCTTCCAAAAACTCTACTGAAATACTTGCATGTCACTTTCACAGCAATGGATACCAAACATAAAGGTAAGAGTACAGAGAAAATTTCATAGTACCTTCACGTATTTTATATTCCGTTTGTGGTAAAAACGAGGAAAGTCACATTTTCATGCATATTACATTCATTAGCCTAAGTCAGCCAGCTCATACGCTGTAAAACTGAGATATAAGTTTAGCCCCCATCTGGGCTCTGGTGTCAGTTCATATCACACCTGCACTCTCAAAATTTCTACATACATCTCACATTTCACACTCCAAATTTCCTGTTCACTTCGGTCTTCTAACAACCTCTTGATCCTTACATCCATATGCATCCCCAAAACAATCTCTTAGCTCTATGACAATGTACATCACTGCTAATACAAAGTCTGCTTGTGGCTCCTACCTTTAAACATTCAAGTTCTATACTTAACAAATCTCTTTTCCAAAGATCCATTTTAATATTATCCTATCCCATTGTCAAAATTACAGACTCTATGTTTTTTTCCTGAAGAAGGTGAAGGTTACAAAGCAAGCAACTAAATTCCCTACTGACATGGAACTCAATGTAAATCACCATGTTCCAAAAGCCACTGGCTGAACCTTATACTGAGCCAGTTCAATCTAATTTACATTTATACAAACCAGCTCTGACCTCATTGAGGCTAATTTTCATATCATCCTATCTATACCAAGGTCTCGTAAGTGTTCCCTTCCATGTTATGACACCGTGTGGCCTGGAAAATGGGTACCAACATTTTGAAAGAACATGCAGACCTGAAGATGGAAACAGTGTGCTCCTCTGAAACATTGGTACCCACCTACCCCAGAGACCACAACAGGAATCTTCAGTATCATGAAAACATCAAACTGCATGTGTCTCTTCCCAGGAGCCTCCCCCAAGAAAAGTGGCACTGAACATTGCAATGAAACGACTAAGTGACCCTGCTTCATATGCGAGAAGTCATAGGCTCAACTCCAGGCACAGAGGCTACCTATCCTGACCAAGCCTGTCTGCAGTTCTGGGGCCACACCCACTTCCAACCATAAGTTACAACTAATCTCCCATCTAACACGACAAAGCCCAAGAAACACAAATCCCATTAACTGCCACAATACTACAGAGATACAAGTCAGACAGACAGATCCATTCAGTTGGTTCCCTGTGGAAAAGGAAGGACTTCATTAAGCCAATGGTGAGAGTGTGGTGACCCTCATGCATATTAAGCACAGACAGAGCAACGGCTACACACAGCAGGAGGAGACCTACATCGGAGACTTGCACAAGCCAACCATTAACTGTAAGTATTAAGTAGGGGCCTTGTGATTTTGAAATACTGACATTGGAGAGAGGACATTTGTACAAAACTCTGTGCGCTCTCACTGCCAGATTTCTGTTGCAACTGGGTTTTTGTATATGAAATGAATGCACATACAGCTGGTTGTGTCCATACGGCCACATGCTTCCGTATCAGAACTGCTGGATGGATTTCAATTAAATCTGGTCTGGACATTGTGCCATGGGATGCTACTGCCATGACTTTTTTCTGTGGGGGGAAGGGGGGAATATGTAAGACAACAAAATGGCAACGGCAGGATTTTCGTTCAATGGCAGTAACTAAGAAACCACTGCAGTAAGGAATGTGAAATGTAACACAGAGAGAGATCATACAAATGCCAACACATTCTGTATTTACTGTTCTTCCTGAGTACAGAATTAAAGACAAGGCACCAATGCAAATCTTTGATGTTATAAGCATCAACTTCAGCAGGGAGCAGGATAAACATTATACCCAAAGCTGTAGGCATACTTCATATTGTTCCTACATTCACGAAAACTATTTGTAACAGCTAGGAGCATTCGGAATGGAAAGGTGCAAATGAAGTGTGCAGGAACTCCATGCATTCTGGTGCAGAACTTCACTTTTTGAACTGCAACGCTTACACAGCAGGGTGATCAATGGAAAGAGCCAGTTGCGGCCCATTTTAACAAACTGTCCCCGAATTTTTCTGAGGGACTGAAGGAAAGAAAAATGAACGTAGTTCAGAATATTCAATTTCACGGCCAAGAATCAAATCATATAAAGCAAGCATGCCATCTGCTACACAATGATTATGATGCCCATTATGGTCTCTGACTGTTCTTGTCTCCAAGAATTCTACAAATGCCACTTTCTTGTCTGTTCTGTTTCTTACTGTAGGCCTAATACAGAATACACAAAGATGCTATGACGAGTACTCCATACACTTGCCACTCTGTACGGCAGTCAAGTGATGTGCGATTACTGCAACTGAAATCCTCATTCCAAATCTTCTTTTCACTACATGTGACAATTTCACTTCTTACGCCATTATCCCTTCTTTAAAATTTTACTTACTATATATTGTGATAGTGACCAGGAAGGCAAAAATATCCTACTTCTGCCTGCAGGACAACGTTTATGGGCAAATCCACTTTTCTCAAACTGCAGTAGATACCCAGCTGCCTGCACAAATTATGCAGGCTATCTGAACACACCACCACACCCTTCCTGTTACTGTACTGTGCTATGTTGCAAAAAAGATTATTCTGGGTTATCCACGTTTACAAATACTTAATTCTCTTCCAGGGCTGAACCAACAATGAGAGTCAGGAATGTGAAAGGGATGCTGCTAGTGATCTTGCTGCTCAGCCTCGGAGCGCAGGGACGCAGGGGCAGGGGTCGAAGCAGGCCAAAGAGCAGGATGCAGATCGGTCTTCCGATAACGGGGAAGTATCGGGACCAAGATTCCGACCAGTATTACAACAACAGTGATGTGAGTAGCTGACACACTGGAATGCCATAGCATTGTAGTATCTGTCTGAGAGCAACCGGACACTGGCACACACAACAAGTGGAGACTTTCTGCCTGCAGGGAGCCAAGATTTTGCTGGCATCTCACTTTGACTATGAATACATGTTGGGCCACAAGATAGTGTTTGTCTGCGTGGCTAAGGGCACCCCTCGGCCTCACATCACCTGGTTCAAAGACAGCATTGAGCTTTATGCACACTCCAACCTACATGTGAGTATGCCATACAGACAGCCTTTAAATCACAGAAACTAACTTCCAAATTGATGTTCTTTCAAGACCGGAAGTTCTTACATTGTGAATTTGACAACTGTGGTCTCCTGGGATGTGATGCCTTGTAGTCTGGTAGGTGCCATGAAAATGGAGGAAACAGATTTCTCCAGAACACAGCTATCTACTTACCAGATTACATGGCATCACTTCCAGAAGATCATGTTCTTTCCTGGAAGGAGTCAAGGTTTCACGGATCACTTCATTCTTCTGAACTCTCTATCAGTTCCTACAAACGAATGACTGTGATCTATGCAAATCAAAGCTGCACTGGCTAAACCATACTGAAGCACTGTATGAGCTCCCTTTACTTTCACTGATGTCACATGACATTTAGCACTTTCATATTCTGACATAACATTCCCATATGGATCCAGTGTCACAAACCTCCTATCAACAAGTTAACAAATTTACCACCTCATTGTGATGATCCGCTGAATGTTCATCTTTGTTCGTCACAGTCCTTGATATGTCTTCTACTGGTACTGGGGTTCCCAACTTCTGTACAACTTAATTTATATCTGGTAACAATAAAGTTGTAAATAAATGACAGGGAAGAAAAACTGCTTTGGCAGAGGCTGGAGAAGAAGAGGGCAATTGCAATCGCAACAGATATCAGTGAATTTATCATGGTCCTCCTCAGTCCCTTCTAAAGAGTGTCATTTTCTTCCAGTATTCTTCCTGTTGTGAGGCACATGGCAGCATGGCTGCTTGAGGCACTATTATGCTACAAGCAGGAAGGTCGTGGGTTCAATTCCTGATGAGGACATTGGATTTTTCAATTGACCTAATCTTTCCAGCCGCAGTATGGCTTTGGGGTCGACTCAGCCTCTAACAGAAATGAGTACCATGGATCATCCTGGGGGTACAGAGCAGTCAGCACATAAGGCTGACAACCTCACTGCTGTCAGTGAGTGGACTGTCTAGAATATGTGGGAGCCTCAACATCTCACAACCGTATGGGCCTCCACGGCCTGTGGCAGGGGCAACTTCTTTTGCCTATTTACCCTTCCTGTCTCATTATGCATTTCCCCTGCTCAACTCCACATCAACCCTGCAGCTGATTAGATAGGTGGGGCAGAGTTTTCCTTCAGCAGTTGACAATCATCAAAATACACAACTGGTTCCTATTTCCTGCTGTGGACCCAACAGAGAAAATCCGAAGATATTATGAAATTCACTCCCTACTCTTTCCAATATGTACCTCAGCCAAGGTTGTTAAAGCGATGCGCAAGTGTTGCGCTAGTCTTTTGATGCAAGTTACATCCTCATTTTCAACCTTTTCCTTAATTACACAAACTATCTTAGATTTCCCAATTTGATGTTACCCTAGTTTAAATTTTAGCTACTATGTATTGTGATGTTGATAAGAAAAGCAACTACTATACCCTCTGTACTAACACTTCATCATTATCAGTACAGAATCCTGTGAATTCACATGCTCATGCTCCACGTTTTCAACATTATTCCACCCTTCTGCCTCTTCCCAAAGTGATCTCCCTATCTCGACCTTCCTGACTGCATCCCTGCAACAAATTATATTTTCTAGAGGCCAATGTACTATTGCAATCGTAATTGCAGGTCCATGAATGGAAAATCAAGCCAGACAAAGTTAAGTCAAAGCTCGAGATCGACCCGGCTGCACAGATGGATGCAGGACTGTACGAGTGTACTGCAGACAACAAGTATTCTGTTGATCGGCGAAGTTTCAAGACAGACTTCAGCATTGCCTTCGACTGACTCTTCCCCCCTCTGCCCCACCTGCACACATCCACACCATTTCCTTGTCTCACATATATTTCAAGTTAGGGTTTTAAAGCTCAACTGTAAATCACATTTAAGAGTAACAAATGACTGTCGTGTTCTTCAAGACTGCAAAATATCAATTTGCAAAGATAACCTGCCACTGGGCCAATTCAATCCATTCCACACAATCAAAACAGGTTACTTAAAATCGATATTTAATATTACTTTCTGGTATCCAGTAACAGGATATTTAAACCAGACTTCCTCACAAAAATTGTGTTGGTGTATTCAACTGCACAGAATTGTGTAGAATGTTACAATAGTCATGAATTCAGAAGATCTGGAAGGAAGTTATCATGGCCCAGTTTGAGGCACTATTCCTGCCTCTGCCAAGAGGGACTGAGGAAGATAATGAAAATCCACAGTTAAGGTAGCCAGTTTTGAGGCCATGATATGAACCACACAGCTCCTGACACCACAATGTTTGGTAGAGTTTTCCTGCTTCCTGTAGAGCCCACTGTATAACTGCAGCTTCAGAGAGTGAACACTTCCCCTCCCGTCTTCACAATCCGCTGTGTAATGCAGGCTCCAGGTTAAACTGGCAGCCTTCAGGTGTTCAAGTCACTGCCTAACTTCCTAGCTTACAATTCTATTTAATACAATTAAGCACACAACCAAATGTCACAATCTATGAGCATGAAATAAATGATGTCTACAGACAACCACCTAGTTGCATATACTGACCCCTTGTCTTGGCATCCAAACTCAAATCATAATTTTTCTGTGGAAGCCTACTATTATAAACTTCACATATTAACCACCGCATTATGTTTGCATGCAGTCTTGTATCATCCAAAATCTCTTCTAGTATATATGGACAAATACCGTCTTAAGTGCAACAATTTTATTGTAGTTTTTACTTCTTTTTCCTCCTCCACACTACATGTTTCGGCCCTAAATGGCCATCATCAGGTGTGTATCACTCACGTAGCTGTTACACTGCTCGTTAAAATTTAAAATCACCAGTCTTTCTAATTGTATAAAATCTTTGTTAATCTACACGCGTCGATTTGATTTTTAAATTAGCACTTTTTAAAACTTTAATTCAAGTTAAAATGTCTATAAGATCTCCGTTCTCTTTCTTTTTCAAATTTTTTAATTAAAATTTTTCAGGGTACATGCCCTATATCTACGGTGCTGCAGCGGCCACTTCTTGTTTTTATCGCTGTTCATGTGTTGTTCAGTGTAGGCGCTCTCTGTGTGTGTCGCTGCTTATCTTTAATACGTGTGCTCTTCTAGTAGTTTGAATACTGGAATAACAGAAGACAGGGATTTTATATTTTCACGTATGAAAGTGCCTACTTTGTTACGTGATCAAATTAATTTGTAAGAATGAATTTCAAAATACAAAGGCTGGAAAAGGGTTCATCCTATTCATTCCATCCTGATGAACTTCTTCAACACATTCACATGCAGGTTTCTTTTGACTCAGGATGAATCTGAGCTTACGATTGCTTGGTTCTGCTCCTACCAAACTTGGAACTTTTGTTATGAAACAACAGGAACAGCCATTATCCACACCTGCTACAGCCATGACACTGCAAACAAAGTTTCAGACTCTTGCTACTGATGCAAAATGCTTTCAACCTGGAATTACGTGAAAATGGCGCTTTATATTCTCCTCCTCCTTTTTGCTTACACATTTCCACTTTACACACAGGTCACCTCTCCTCCTGCTCCTCCTCAACTTCCCCCCCCCCAAATCTTCCTTCCCTCTTTGTGCTCTGTTCCAATCGCAATCTCAGTCCTCTTCTCAGGCATTTGTTTTCCTCTTAGTGTCACATACAAAATCATCTCTGAAACTCCATTTCAAATCATTCTTATACAGTGCCTGCAACATCTTACTCTATTATTTACTGATTTATCTTCCAAAGTATTTATCTTTACACTCTCCCAAAAATGTTGACATTCCTTTGGCTTGCTACACATGCTCTGTCTTCCTCGTTATTTTGCCTGCACTTAAGTCTGACAGTTCTTTCAAGATGAGCAACGGAAAGTAGGGCTCAATTACATCTGTGATCATGTCCTCACAATCTTACCCTTAGATTTAAGAGCATTTACACAATATGATTAGCAAGGAGTGTGCATGGCTGGCTTCAATTCCCTCCTTCCTGGTCTCTCTTCCTATACTTCTTAAAATTACACTTTACCACCAGATGGCTCTAACATACACAGGCTATGATGCTACACGATTGCTATAACATTTCCTTCTTAAGTACAGTGGCAACTATACACATCACCTGCTTTAACATTTTGCCCACACAGTGTATTTACACATTACATCTGATTCTCAAAAAACAGCACTGACCACTTTTTGTTAATGGAGACATACTGTGTTTCTGTGTGGTAGAAAATTAATTCTTAAATATCAGGTAGACATTTCAACCATCAGTGAATTAAATAGAGTCTGTGTGTAGCATGTCAGTGGGTTCATTAGAAACTTTCCCTTCCAACACATTGACACAACCAAACAGACAGAGCTAAACTAAATTTAAGAAACAAGAAAAGCACTCACCGGCGGTCATTGTGGATGATTTCCATGTAATCCATAGATCTGGCATAGAAACCATCAGCTGTCAGTGCACCCCAGAAGTTAGACCAAGCCTTGTAAGGTCTCAAGAGCAGTGGCGCCACAACACTCCTGAAGAACAACAAGCAATTCACATTACATTCACTGCCCCTGAGGCAGGTTCTGATGATTCTATGTGGCTAACTTCCTACTGCACTACAAAACATTTTGTTTTCACCACTGTGTGAAGCACTGATGACTCAAAACAGACCTGATAATGACTTCAGCAATAAGTCATGAAGATTTTATGTTGGTACAGACATCTGAAATACATTTTTAATGTTCCAGGGTGAGGACTAATTTTAAACTATAACCAGTCATCACAATTTAGTCACTGTGAAAACAATACAGTGTTATCTAATGCAGCTTCAATAGTACTGATTCATGACAACTGGGAAATCTGTTGAGTTTCTGGCATAAAGTGAACATTAGACAAAAAGACATGCTCAACCATGCATCTGTGTACCAGCTGCAGCTTTCACACTATGAAATACAATTCAATTAAATTAATTTTATTTTGGTTTATATCTGTCTACTATGCGTTATGCTTAAACATGAATCCAGTGGTCTTCTGAAAAATGTCATACAAAGGCTTTGATATAAGACACAAAACATGGCCTGCATTATATTATTTGTTTAAAACACTTTTTCAATGTGGTGAACATCTGACAAACTAAAATGATGAATAATTTCTAACTCCGTGCACCAGGACATCTGCAGTGTGCGCAGCAGTGTTGCCATGCCTCAACTTGTGAACATGTGAGCTGGACAATGACACATTGTCTGAGTACCAAAAGCAGATGGTAACTTCCCCCACTTTGTGTACGAGCAGTGTAGCCTGCCTCCATTGCTTGAAGAAGTTTCGTTCAACCACTTTTTGTTGCTGTCCACCTTCAGTACTGTCAGACAGTATACAAAATAGCATAAAAAACATCTGGAAAATATCCGTACTCCAGTGGGAAATGCTTTCGGCCTCATTTTTAGTGTAGGAGATCAACAGACAGAAATAACTGCAGAAGATGCTTTACTCTGCCTCAACATGTACCTGACATAAGCAACACTTGGACTTCTGAGCAAATCTGGGTCACTCTCAGTAGAGACCCTCATCAACACAAAAAGCTTGCCATGTCCATCCTCTTCCCTAAATGATGATAATGGTGACATGGTGGGCAGAGTGGGAAATGAAGGTGCTTTTGTATTGGCTACATGTATACAAGCTTTAAGAGCAACAAGTACTGTGTGCACACACCTGTTCTGCTCGATGAGAAGGCGAAGGGCGTGAGGGTTATCCAAATGAGCATCGCTGTCCAGGTTCAGGTAGTATTCACACTCCACAGTCAAACAGTAGTTTCTGCAACATGAAGACTGGATCAGACCCCACACAGCAGTGTAGCACTAATCTACTCCATATGGCAGTGTTTAGGGTCATCAAATGGACGAGGCACATAGGGAGCAATAGAGGTTGTGAGGATAAATGTGAGTAAGATTATTTTTGTTCAGGATAGAATAAACCGTTCAGTTATAAACTTGCCGACTGTACTCACATGGCCAGGCTGCGGGCCTCAGACTCCTTCGTCTTATGACTTGGGTTGATCCTTTTGATGGTACGATACTCTTCGCCGTGCTGTGACAGGAAGTCCTCCACCAGCTCGGCGTGGAACTCTGCCTAGGGAAACAGCACGACATAGAACGAAAAGTTAACTTGATTCATCCTGGTCCATCACACTAGTAACTGCATATAAGATTTTTAACCACCGCCCAGGATGATTGATAAATGTTTCATTTTCACTTTTTCATCCTTTACATGTTTCAGTCAAAACGATCTCCAGAAGGAAAATGGTCATTTGACTGAAACATGTAAAGGATGAAAAAGTAAAAACACAACTTTTATCAATCATCCTGGGCAGTGGTTAAAAATCTTATATAGAATGTAAAGTGTGCTTACAGGGTGGAAATGGAAGGGCACTGCTTCACTACTTTTATGTGACTCAGCATGATCGCCACATCTCACATCTTCGGGGTGGGGGCTGCATGCATGAGTTTATGATATTTAATAGAGAAGTGTTACCGCTGTTTTCAATATTGTGCTATCTGTAGGATAAAAATGTTTTAATGGATAAGAGGGCACAAAGGAAAGTTATGAAAGGGATCAGGGACAGAAGGATGAAGATACAAAAGAAATGACACCTATCAAACCTCAAAGGGATTTTCCACTAGTCTATTTCAATGCTATAATCCTACCTAGATCTCCAAGTGAAATCTATTCATGTATAAAAAGATCTCTATGAGAAATACTTGTGTAAAAGAGGCGGGGGGAGGGGGGGGTAAAACTCTGTTCCGGTGAAATGACATACACTA